CTTGTGAGGTCTTGTGGTAGTTCGCAGAAATGTGCAGTACTACCATCTACTGTTCCCATTGTAAAATTATATACAGTGACTTGGGTACTTCCATTTATCATCTCCTTAATTCCCTTTCTTCAAGGCAAAGAGCTCCTCTTTAACATTTGACCCACTTTCTCCCCAACAATATCCTTAAATAATCTTTAATAGCCTTAGTTTATGATTTTAAAATTTTGACTTAATTTGGTGGGGTTGTTGGGGTAAAATGGTTCTCATGTTGGTACAAAATACTGAATAGGTTCTGCTGTGTTATAGGTGAAGTTGCATAATTGTATTGTATTGTAGTATAGAATACATTGCATATACTGAAGTTAAAGTTATAAGACAACAGATTTATTAGGCCAGGGTCAGAGTTCAAGAGCTGCATGCTAGTGTCCCACAGCTGCAGACATTACATAAGCATTGGGCTTCTCTGTCAACCAGTAGTGTCCAAGAAGATCAGTGAATACAGTTACAGAGGACTATAACGGCTTTTTAAAAATTCCAAGTACAGAAAAACTCGCCCTCACCTACCATTACTGACAGTCAGAAAATTAAAGTGATAAAAAGGAAATACAAATAAACTTGCCTTAACTTACTGAGATTTTTAATGACGTTCTATTAACTATAGCCATACAGATCAGAAACATTTTCAACAGAAATGTAGTCATACTTTGTCTCACTGCATCTTCCTCATTAACGATAACCCTCCCTGCTGCTGCTGGTAAAACACTTAATACTTAGGAACTCTATTTATGTTTTTGGATGATTAAGCATGCAGTTTCATAATTTAGGTTGTTGTAAAAAATATGCACACTAAAATAGGGCTGTTCAAACTTCTTCTTGTCCTCTCCATAAATTCCTCATATTCATATCGTAAAGTGAAGTAAAATAAAGTTCTCCTATATTGGTTCTACTGAATTGCAGTCTCCTTCATTATAATGACATGAATATAGCCTGGTTGAGAGGGTTTGTATAATGCTATTTGGAAAACTCTTGTTGAGAGTTTACCAAAAAAATAAATAAAATATAAAATAAACATATCCTTTATAGATGTTTAGAGAATAAGTGTTGTGGGGATGACAGGGCACAGCTACTTCCACACTGTCAAAGGCTGATCCCGACAGATCTCAGAAGCTATGCAAGGCTGGCCCTGGTTAGTACTTGGATGTCATTGTGTCCTTAGGCAAGACAATTCACCCACATTGCCTAGTATGAAAGTGGTGTGCGTGTGAGATGATGGTGGTTAGAGGGCCTGATGGTGACAATTATCAGCCGTGCTTCTGTCAGTATGCCACAGCTGTCCTGGCTACCATCAGTGTTGGGAAGGTTACTTTTAAAATGTGTTCCCCTACAGATTACAGATTACACACCCCAAAATGAAGTCTCTACTTCTGCTGTTTGTGTCTATGGGTCTATGGAAGTCACATCCACTGATCTGGCTGTTTTCATCATATTAGCTTTATCTCCCCCTTGAGGCTCAGTTGGTTATAACACACAGTGCAATGGTATGTTTTTATCACAAAACCCAAAATAATATTGCACTACATAGATAATTTCATATCTGTCATGTGATGTATTTGGCAAAATAGTTGTTGTTGTTTTTTCTTATTTGTTGTTTACAATTATCACACATTTGCTGCCAATGTGTACCTCCATTATCATTTTCAGATTAGTTTATAGTTCTAGTAAATCACACTGGGGGGTGTTCTATGTGTATCTCTATGGACGAAATGTTCATAAGTTACTATGGTGACACAATGCAAACATCAGTAAACACAGATAAAAAAAGTTATGGATAGCCTGAAATCTTAAGAAAAAAACATCAACAAACAAACAAACAAACAAACAAAAAAACAAAACAAAAAAACAAAAAACAAAAATGGATTTAAACAGCACATTTACAGGAGCTGGCTTGTGACTGTAAATGTATGTGTGAAACTTGTCATCTGTTTTAGTTCCAACTAAGTCAGCCCTTTCTGGTTAGATTGTGTTAAAATAAAGATCAGATTAAGTCAGGTTTGAGTAACAGAGCTTCTAACAGTGTAGCACTTTCAGTTAGCTTCACACTCACAGAGAATGTTGATGACAGCAGCTGAAAAGTATCAATAGGCCAAATCAGTACTACAATTATGACAATGTTATAGGTGCATAATCAAAATCTTGAGTGTTGCAGACTGAAGTTTCCAGTGCATGGGAGGATGTGGGGGAGGCAGGTGGAGGAGGGGTTTCCTCTCAGATTGCCGGCATCCCCAAGTGAGAAAAAAAAGGGTTTGAGGACTTCCCCCTGTACACACACACACGCACACACACGCACACACATACGCACACACATACGCACACACTAACCCACCCCCCCTTCCCCAGTCACTTACTGTCGCCTCTCCTTTTTATTCTGTACATGGACAGCTGCAGATCCTCAGAGGAAAACAGACTCCTAATCAAATATTCGGATGACATGGTCCTGGTGTCACTGCTTTCAGGATCTGAGGGAAATCATGGTCCTGCGCTGGAGCAGTTTGTCCAGTGGTGTGAGGACAACTACCTGGATTTGAACATTGCCAAAACTAAGGACATGGTAATTGAATTTAGACGTGTACCTTCCCACAGTGTCAGTGTCATACATGGTGATGATGTTGAAATAGTGGATAGTTACAAATATCTGGGCACCGTGATGGACAATAAACTGAAATTTGACCTAAACACTGAAAGCGTTGTCAAACGAGGGCAGCAAAGAACATATTTTTTTTTGAGGAAACTGAACTCTTTTAATGTGAACTAAATGATTCTTAACAATTTTTATTGTTCTTTTATCAAAGGTCTTCTTACTTTTTCTTTTATTTGCTGGTTTCAATCCTTGTCTGTGAAGGATAAAAACAAACTTCAGAACATTAATAAAACCTGCTCGAAAATCACAGGGGTCAAACTGGGGGAGCTGCACTCTTTGTGGGAGGAGCAAGTGCTGAGCAAAGCCAAGTGTCTCCTGACTCAGCCGCTCCATCATCTGGCTCCCGATTTTATCCTGATACCTTCAGGGCGTCGGTTTTATGCTCCGATACGAAAGACCAACCGGTTCTCTAATTCTTTTGTGCCCTCTGCTATTAAATTGTTAAATTCTAAGGGTTCAGTTTTCTGAATGTTGTGCACTGTAATTTGTAGTTTATTAGTGAGTTCCACTGGTGGAATGTAATGGACTGACACACTGTGTGTGTTTGTGTTTTTGTGTGTGAGAAGTGAGAACTGCTCTGAGATGCTGCTAATGAATTGCCTTATGGAATCAATAAAGTTTTCTGAATCTGAATTTGAATCTGATGCTCACACACTTTTCTCTGTACACACATGCTGACACACTTTCCTCTGTACACACATGCTCACACACTTTCCTCTGTACACACATGCTCACACACTTTCCTCTGTACACACATGCTCACACACTTTCCTCTGTACACACATGCTCACACACTTTCCTCTGTACACACATGCTCACACACTTTCCTCTGTACACACATGCTCACACACTTTCCTCTGTACACACATGCTCACACACTTTCCTCTGTACACACATGCTCACACACTTTCCTCTGTACACACATGCTCACACACGTGCAGTCATACGATACCGGGAGCCAGACGGTTGGCAGTAGGCCTGTGTGTACAATCATGTCCAAGCAAAGCAAACTTTCAAATGGCCACAGTGTTAAGTGAGGTTTAAGCTTTTTCACCAAAGTGATTTGTGTTATCAACAGTGGTGGAAGAAGTACTCCATTTTCTTACTTATTTACTTATTTACTTTACCTGGGACAAAGTAAAAGTAAAAGTAGCACATGGGAAAATTTACTTAAGGAAAAAAAAAAAAATGCTAAAAATGTTCTTAAAGAGAAAAAATAAACATATTTTTAAATGTAATAAAGCTTCAAATGTACTGAATTTGATAAAGATTTGTTCAGATTTTTCCTAGCTGTTTTTATTTGTGTACTTTTGTTTACTCAATCTACAAATGAGTTATAAATAAACTCCTCAGCCTGTTCAACAAGCCTCACACAATAACAAAAATACTTTTACTTTTCAGTCTTCAGTTACAAAATATAGTAAAAATAAAAAGTAACCACTTTCAAAATGTAGTTACGTAAAATATAGTTATGTAAAGTACAGATACCTAAAATTTATACTAAAGTACACTACTTTCCACCACTGGTTACAAATATCTTCATCCGGAAACACCAACAGCCTGTAAAATGATTATAATGCTAATAATCTACAGAGTTGATGTAGTGGCATGGATTACAATAGATTATGTCAATTGTGGTTGTACCTGCTGGATAAACAGGGATCCTCAAGCCATTTTTAGTTAGTTAGTTTTTTGGATATTGAACAGATCCTATATTATAACCCACATTATGTGGTGACATTATACAGACATTAATAGAATTTGAGTCAACATTTACACATGTAAACGTTCATGCAGCTATAGAAACATTTATATATCATCATTATATTGTTCTGTCACAACTTTCTCACCTGACAGGTCTGTTTCAGTGGAAGGATATCACAGTTTTTCTTTTCTCAAAGTTTGTTTTTTATTTTTTTGTATGTTGCCCTTTCGAGGGAAACAAAAACAATCATGTATATTCATATCAAAATCTAAAAACATAAAACGTGAAACAATCTTTGGCAAATGAAACATTAACAAGTCAAACCACCTACACATAAATCAGTCGTCACCATTATTCTGAGGTAAATTGAAGAGTAGAAAAGGCTTACATCATTGTTATAGAAAAATCATATCAAAATTAGCTTATATTGAAAAGTTGAAAAGTCTTTGTACCTTGGGACTTGTACACATTACATGATTAAAAGCATTATAAATTATAATTTGTAAGTTCAGTCATTATTTATATCAAATATTGACTGTAACAGTGTCATGATAAAAAAACTGAAAAAAAAAAAAACAAAAAAGAAATAGCACCAAAGATGGCAGGGTATGGACAATATGAACACTATATATTGCATGAAAAGTAAAAAAATAAATCTGCTTTTGTGTCCTCTGCTCACATGGATGTCCGGATAGTCGTGGCTTCTGGAATTGCATAATTGTTCCACCTGGTGTTTAAAAGATCTGCAATGTTCCATATGGTGCTTTGCAGTTGGAGGTGTATTATACAACAGAAGTGGACTTGGAACTCCGCCACCTCTTGGCTACTATGGCAGCTGTTAATATTCCAGCTGAGATGACATAGGAGGCCCCACAGAGGTGAAAGGTCGAGGTGTACGCACCTGTAGTATCCACCAGCAGACCTACACAAAGACAAGAATGTTATGCAACATCAGCATCAGATAAACTCGAGACACTAATGTAACAGCTGAAGTGTTACCTCCAATGGGTGGGCTGACCAGATATGGTATAGCATGGAGAAAGTAGACTACACCCAAAGCAGGGGTCAAGTATGAGGGTCCAACCACGTCTGAGACTACCACTGGGATGAGTGCCACATAGGCCCCATCAAAGTATCCATAGAGAACCACACACACAGCGAGGGCTGGGAAAGAGAAGAGAAATGGCAGGACCATGCAGCACAGCCCCTCCATCAACACTGCACACATGTAGTTCAGCAGGCGGTATTTCTTTATGAATCTGCAAAATACAGTATGTTTGGATCAGACAAATGAATTGTGTTTGATTAAGCAAGAGTCCAACTTATGCCAGTCCCATGGCTAAAAGAGATTGTGAGGAAGAGAATCTCGAGCCAAATGAATATGCCACTTTTGAAGTATATTTCCTATGGCTTCACAAGGGAAAAACAATTTAAAACAATACTGACGGCTGTGTTTACAAAGCACCTGGTTTGTCAGAACAGCAAGCTCAAGTATCTTGTTACTGCATAACTGTATCTTTTAACAGTGGAATGTATAGAGAAGATTTGAAAACAATGAAACACTGACAAAGGCCAAAAAGACTCTTATGTAATCTACCTCCTCCCACTTTGGATAATGACTGAGGTACCTTGGCTTCCTCTCTGGTCCATTATACATGTACTATGATGCAAGAAACTATTTGAAGAGTAGTACATTACCTAACAATGTACACATATGAGTACACAGACACAGACAAAGATGAACACATGCACGTGTTGGGTCCAGTCATTGGGTCCACATTCTTACTACTGTTACTACTATTGCTCTAAGATCAGAAAATACAGTACTTGTTAAATCCTATGAAATGTACTTGACATTCATTTGATGTTTTCATATAAAAAGCTAAGACAATGATATATGTAGATGAACACATATTGAACCAAATAATCATTATATTCACAGTTTCCCAAACACTTACGGCCTGTCTGTGATCCAACCAAAGGTGACGTTCCCCACGATGCTGCTGACTCCAAATATGGACATGAGGAAGGCGGCGTGCTGATGCTCAATACCCACACTGAGGGCGTAGGGAACCAGGTAGACCAGAGGGGCACTGCAGCCGAATGCCATGAACAGCACAGACACGAGCAGGATGAGGAAGTCTGGGTGCAACAGGAAACTGAACTCCTCCTTTGACTCCAGACACAGACAGAGCCTGCAGAGTTTTGGGCTCACAATGCAGCTGCAGGTGAGATTAGCATCACCAGATAAAAAGTTCTGCCCTGCTTTGTCCATGCTCTTGTTCTTCAGGTTCAAGCTCTCCAGCATCTGGTTCTCAATAGTTTTGTTGTTGTTGCAGTTATTTTGTTCAAGATGAGCCAGCTCCTCTTTAGTGAGATCTGATGAAATCAGTTCAGTGTTTTTTGAGTCAATTTTTGATGTCACATAATCTTTCTGAGCAGCAATCTCGTCATCCCATATCCTTTGGAAATAAAATAAAAACATTTTACATTTGAATGTTTGTAAAACATGTTTGTCAGTCAAATGTGGTTTGTTGTTTTTTGGGGGGTATTTAGTGTTAAACTAAATTGTGTAGATCATTATCTTATATTTTGTTATTGCAACTGCAGAACTGAGAAGACCAGCCTCTTCATAGTGGCCTTTCACAGTTTCAAGCAGTACCTTTCTGTATTTTTGAAAAAGACATTTTTGAACCTTACATCTATGACTCAGAATCAGATTTTTTTTTTTTTTTAAAGCATAACAGAGACATGGGCTGAGACGGGGGCAGGTGAATACAGACATTTACTGAGCACTCAAGCTGTGTTTGCAAGACAGTGCAGAGTTACTAAAACGTGCATGAATCAACTCTAATACAACTTTGAGAAAAAACAAACAAACAGATGAAGTAACTAAAACATAACATAACACATTTAAAAGCTCAATTTTAATTTACATAATCACTAAGCACAAGTTCAGAACCTCAGATATTCTGATCTTAAGACTACCCAGAAACTGAATACTTGCCTGTCTGCTGCTTTAGATTTGGGTTTGACGGGCCTCAACAGGGCCCCACAAACACACAGATTGGCCACAAACCCCCCAAGGACCAGCAGAGCCCCTCTCCACGAGTACAGCTCTATGAGCAGCTGGACGGCAGGGGCCAGGATAAACGTCCCAATGCCACTGCCTGCATTTACAATCACACACAGCACAGTCAAAATAAACCTATTATTATATACTATAAAGCAAGGTTTTGGAGAAAATACAACTTCTAATAAGATGATGAGGGCTGTTTCTGTTTTTTTGGCTGTGAAAGTAATTCTTATTGGACAAGGACAGAGCCAGTGACACCTACAAATACAACTGGCTCTTGAGAGTAGAATAAGATGCAATTTGGCACAAAATGAACAAATAGATCAAATAAAAAATATGATATGAGGTTGCTGAAATATTTAAAATCTATAGTAATAATAGACAGATAGAAAAATATTTAAGCAAAGCAATGTCATGGTATACAATTATATTGTAATTACCTGAGAGGCCAATGCCATAGGCCAGTGCTTTTCTCTCATGGAAGTAATTTCCCACCATCGCAACTGACGGAGTGTAGCTCAAAGCAAAACCAAGCCCTAAGAATTGCATGTATTTATTTACTGCAATATTTCTTATTAAGTATACATATTAAGTAAATTGTTGGGGAACTTTCATCCTTTACCTGTTACAAACCCCATGGTAATGTACAGATAAGGCAAACTAGTGGCAAATGAGCTGAGCACCATCCCAGTGAAAGACAGGAGACCTCCTGCCATCACTATAGACCTGCATGAGAAGTGGTTGCCCAGAAAACCCCCCAGAGGAGCTGGAGGGGCAAAAAGACAGTTACAACATAGAAACAGAAATATATAGTATTTTTCTAGTGAAGCTGTTTTGATCTTACCACAAAACATTGTGATCCCATCTATAGTACTGTGGATCCAGGCTGTAGAGGAATAATCCCGCCCAAAATGCTGTTGGAACTCTATAAAGAATATGGACACACATCTGCAAAGGAAAAAAAGAAAATATCAGTCAAGTTATAAAATAATGAATAAACAAATGCTGGTGCCTTTCTAATTAGGAATGGTCTGATATAGATATATTTTAGCCAATACCATTATCCAATGTTTGTTTTGCTGTTGTGGCCAATAATAACCAAATTTGCCAATGCTTTTTAATCCATTTTTAAAAATCCATAACATGGCCCAACTGAAATAAATTTATTTGCCCAAATTAACTTTTACCTTTTGTAGAAATTATTATACACGATTGGACATGCGTTTTCATTCAATGTTTTTTCTTTATTTTCATATGTGTTTACACTGCAGATTCTCACTGAAGGACACACATGGAATGTAGTAAACAAAGTGTGAAATAAACCTGTTTTATATTTTAGGTTCTTCAAAACAGCAAAACAACAAAACAGCAACCCGTAGAGAGGGAGTGCTGGATCACTACTTTGCCAAGAGGGAACAAAGCAATTATCCAATACTCCCCCCCCCCCCCCCCCCCCCCCCCTCTCTCTCTCTCTCTCTCTCTCTCTCTCTCTCTCTCTCTCTCTCTCTCTCCATCTCTCTGTCTCTGTGTCTCTCCTGACAAGGCACATTAAATGAAATGAAAACCATTTCAGGGGATGCTCAGTCCAAAGAGTCCAAACATGTGACTGGTAGTGCTGTGTAGCTGTTAGTTATTTTTCAGGGAACTATGGAGCAGCATTGAGTTCAAATATTATTGCACATTGTTGGCCAACAATAACCATTAAATAGTAATTGATTAGCCCAACCCTGACCTTTTATCCTGAAACCGTTGTGCTATCCAGTCATTTTTTCTGAATCATATCAGTGCATCCCTTTGGAGTAGTCAGTATAATCCTTTTTTTCTCCTCCCTTTTTCCCTTTCTTCATACATATTTTTATACATTTATGATCATGATTATTATTATTTTTAAGTATATATTATATTTTTTATGTATTCTTTAATTTGGTGATATAATATTAACCTGTTTTAGAACAAGGGTGGGGTAAAAACTGAATAAAAAGTAGAAACAAAACATAAATATTCTGTCTACTGTAATGTCAATCAACAACATTTTTTGTGGAACTTTGGCAGATATACACATTATTATATGCATTATATGTACCAATAATTTTATATAATATATAATCAATACATTATATAAAATTATATATAAAAGATGTGTGGATGTAGTGATAGAGGACAAGCTGTCAGAGAAAAGCTTCAGAGTGGTCAAGTGAAAGTAATGCAGCCCTACCTGGTAACAGCGCGAGTGCAGATGTTGGTTAAGAAACACCCAGCGACAATCATCCACCCCCAGCCCCCTTCTCTGGCCCTGGACCCCCTAGCCTCCTTTGCCATGGCTCTGGGTGCACTCTTGAATCAGTGGGCTCCGTTTAACCTCCTCTCTCGAGTATCAGGGCTGCTCTTGTTCACTGTCAGCAGCGCAGTTCATCAGTTGTGACTAGATCCGTTCCAGAGCCTCTGATGTTACCATATTCCTCTAGAGTCCTCCTCTTCGGCTCCTAAACAAAAACCAAAAACCATGACTAAACAAAAAGTAAACATAAAATGCTGATGAAGATTTGACATAATATTCAACATGCTGAAAGGACAAGCTTTCCTGAACAGAGTTTGAAACATTCTGATAACATCAAAAAGTTACAAGTGAAAATATGCCAGTGAAAAACATGACCTCAAGGATATTGCCACAAATGTGTAAGACATTAAAACTATCCAGACCACAGTGGAACATAATGGAACACCATGGTTAAAGTGCCTCCTTTTGACTACAATGATGGCTATAGACTTTATGAACGGTGCTATCTGTTATTCTGTCTATTTCTGGCACTAGATAAAGTAAGAAAAGCTTTTGTAAAGAAGTTACAGTCCAAAACAGATATAAAATGGACTGCAAACATGACAATTAAAAAGACATGCCCAAAGTACAAACATGATATACTATGTAAAATTCCAAACAAAGCAGTAACTGGAGATAAGCAGATAGCTAACCCATAACCAGAAAAGTGACATCATACAATATCTTATTTAACGGTTAAGCCTTAAGTAGACAAACAGAAAACCAAAATATTCAGACAAACTTTTGACCCACTTAAAATAACAACATGCAACAAAAGCCCGCTACAGTAAACAGGCTTCCTCTTAAATGAATTCTGATAAAAACACAAACCTTCAAAGTGACTCCTTAAAAGTGTCTCTGGATTATTCTATACATTGCGTTCACAGTACAGGGCTGTAGGTTTGTGGACTAGATATGCATATGTTGTTTTCCCTGGTGAAATGTAATCCGATCTCTAACCTCTTTAAACAACTTGACTCAGCACTAGTCTCCCTTGACACATATATGTCTGCCATAACAGGTTAATTGAGTGCTTGGTGAAGATATATGGTTGTTTACATTTCTGGACATTTTTATTTCCTTCATAATTTTCACAACTATATACTGTTTACACTTTCCCAACTGGCTTCAAGCTTCAGGCATGTGACATGTCTTGTGTCAAAGCTGTGGCCTAGGAAGGGACAAACATCATGTCGGGGTCAGAGGTCAGGGGTCCGCTCCACGTGGCCACCTGGATAAGGGGTGAGATTCTTCAAAGAGGCGAGGGGCAAAACGAGAGCTGTCTAGAGACTCCCCTAAAACTCTTGCACCACTTCCTGCACTTGTATGTCAACCTCTAGACCATAAGCTCCCCCTCTTCCTGCCCCTCCACTGAAACGGGTTAGGATCCACGTGAGAGTCCATTTATGAGAGCTCTTTGTACAAACCACCTCTCCCCAGCTGTGTTTTGTTTGCATTCCTCCTAGTTAAAATTGTTAAAGTTATTACTCAAACCCAATCAGGTGTGAGTAGTACTAGAAAGTACTAGACTGTTAAACCTTTAGCAGCATTAGTACCTTTTTAATATTTACCTATAGCTGCCCCCTGTAAAAAGTTCTAACAAAACAAACTCCTCTGCATTAACTATACCAAAAATAAATTCTTATTATATTGTTACCGTCATGGTGCATTTCCTTGTCCATATTTCTAATGAACTGCCCTCATTCACCTGGCCAAAGGTCACTGCATTGGCTCTCTGGTTTCATCAACTGTGGTGCTGTAAGTTCAACTGGACAAACAAGTCTGCACCTGCATATTGATTTACTGGAGTTATCAACTGAGAATTCCCCTCATGCTGCAAAGTAAACTGGCAACCTGCCATCACAACATCACTTCACGAGCATCAAAAAGGCTAATTTAGAAGGTATCAATTAAGAAATCAGCAAAAGAGTTAGAGCAAAAACTGTACAATTTGGATGTTCTTCAACAAAACTGTTCCAAAACTGTGAATGTTAAAGCTCAAATATGGTTTCACATGGGACAAAAAGATCTTGGTTCTGAAAAAATAAAATAATTAACATACCTTAGCTGCCATTTATTCTGCCTCTCTCTCTTTAGTGTTTCATGCTTGTAAAGTGAGCAAGCAGAGACCAGCCCTGTGTGCGCTCCAAGAAGCATCTGCAGACTATGTAGAAGTGAAGCACAGCAGCTCAGTGAGGAGAAGAGAAAGGAGGGAGGGGGTCCAGGGGAGGGAGCCAAAAAACATTTGCATAAAGGGTTCAAGTGAATATAAGCAGATGTCAAGACTACAAAGGTTAATGGTAGGTTAGGATCATTTTAGATGGATTAAATAGACATCATAAGCATGTACTAATTATAATGACCTGCTATTAATATATTTTCTGAACCCTATGTAGACTTAGACTTGGACAAATTTCATTGAACCATAAGGGAATAACTTGGACATAGTAGCTCACACATCACAATAAATATAATAACAAAAAGCAAAAATATAAATGGTAATAATAATAATAATACATTAAATATAAGTAACAAAAATAGCAAGAGAATATTGTCAAATAAAGCAAATAGACAAATGTATATGTACAGGTAAAAATACATGAATATATATAAAAATATAGTAAATATGCAAAATATATCTCGGCTATATACAAGAGGTGGGCAAGGAGAAACAGTGCAAATATGAAATAGTGATTGACCTGACAAAAGGTTATCTGTTACATAAGAGTGAGTTGTTGTACAGCTGTAAGTAGTATGATATGAATGTAGTCCTGTATCTGTCACTATCTGAGTGGAGCTGTTGGAGAATGAGCTCCTCTGTCCCTCTATAGTCTGGTGCAGTGGGTGAGCAGGAGTGTCCATGATGAAGAGCAGTTTGTTCAGTATCCTCCTGTCTCTTACTGTGACAAATGCTTTGAATGAACTTTATTTGATGTTTATTTACAACAGAACACTGATCTAGTTGTTGATGCCCTGACCAAGACGCCACATGTGTCGAAACCCCTTTGCTTGTCCCATGTAACCATTTTATTCTAATTCCAACAGAGCGCCGCTGACTTTTTTTTAAAAATTGCTTTTTACTTTAACACTGTGGGTTTTTACATTGGAAGCTTGGTCATCTTCACTGACTGATGTAGTTGTATCACTAAACTGAATATGTTTTACGATCAATGCATTATTTTCAATTCTTACACCTACAGTGAAGATGACTAAAATATTCAGGATATGTGTCTATAAATCTGAAGTAAAAACACAGCAGGTTATTTGATCTGATGTAATTGGACATTTTAGAGAAAATCTGCACACTAGACTCTGTATATGATTGTGTTGTTCATGATCATCCCTGACCACCTCCTCCAACTGAACATCCACCTTTGACCCCAGCTACATTTCACAGATAGTCCTTCCTAATTTGTTTGTATTGGTTTGACTTGTTTCAGGCAGTTTACACTTCAACATTACAGTGCAGTGTCAAGGTACCCTTTGTCCTTCTCCCACAACTAGTGACTGTAATATGTCATCCATGGATTTCATATTGATGAAAAATTCGGACGGCTGCCATAGTCATTAACCAATTAAAACAAATTATTTTAGCTTTTTAATGGTGAAAAGTCCTCAACAGTGATAGAAAGCTGAAACAGATGAATATACTAGTATACACTGCAATAGGTTTAGCAGGATCACATTCTTGGAACACTAGAGACTTGGAAACATTTACTCATTAATTTGTAACTAATTTCCTCAGTTCCCACAGGTGGAAATTAGCTCTAGTGCTACAATCTGGCACAATGCATCTCTCCTGTTAAGGCTAATGTGTCTAAACTAACTAACTATTTAACTAGCTAACTAACTAAATAAATAAATAAAGATGTAGGGTGCTGCTGAAATGTTTCATTTTATCTGGGTCAAACTGAATAAGTTACTAAATGAGTGATATTTTGTTTTCACTGTAAAATGCTGTGCCTACAAGGCTAAGGAACATAACATCAGGTTTAATATTGGGATGGTGAGGCATTCGAACGATCCAAAAAAGTTGAAATATGATTAAAAAAGATAATGCACAAAATTTAAAAGGCACTTGTTTCAGTACAGTGCAGTATGAAGTATTATCACAAAATAAAAGGTTGCAGAGGAGACTACATTTAAAGCTTCAAACAGTACTGTTAACATTACACAAGGGATTTTAGATCTCACTGTAGATTACCTCTGAATAACTTATAATTATGTGGCATGATTTTTCTTAAAAGCCTCACGCTCTCCTCGGGGTCACATTGAACCGAAGAATTTTTTTTCCCCTTCCCGCTGTCTTGGGGAGGGTCAATCAGACCCAAAAATTTATTTTCAAATAAATTCTCGCCAGGTGAGAAAATACATTTTTGGGTCTGACTGACCCGTGTCAAAAGAGCAAGAAGGAAAAAAAAAATCTTTGGGTCAATGTGACCCCGAGGAGAGCGTGAGGGGTGCTATTGAGATGTTTCATTCCACATTTTTAACCTTAAACTATTTTGTAAAAAAAATGTTTAATGGTGCACTATGTAGCTTTTTGTTGAGGGTCTGTCACTGGCTTGTTTCTATGGAAATGTCATTGCTCTGCCTGGATTGTTCCACACTATGACATTAAACAGCTCTACTATGAAATTACAAGTGGTTTTATAACTTAAAAAACTCTCCCAGATCTGACCATACCATACTGTGAAACATTCTATACAAAACGTAACATCTGTATGAAGAGAGCATTTGACAGACCCTCCACCAGAAAAGTTACACAATGCCCCTCTAATGATTAGACTGATCTTACAAGCATTCACAGTTATGATAGGAATTAATTGATGTTTTGTATATAAAACAGCCACTCATACCAATTAAGGTTGCAAACAAAGGTCTTGTACAGTTTTGGGTTTATTCCATTTTAGAAAAAAACAAAACCCTTCACATCAGAACATACATTGCACAAGGCAGAGAGTCTTGTCATTAGTCATTTTAACCCTCTTCTTCCAAACCAGAATTAACAGCAGCAGCAGAAGTGGCTCTGAACCCCGGGCTCATCACCATCAGTGCTCTGAAACACTAACTGGACCCCTGCAGATTTACACTGGGGCCTACAGCAGCAGGACTACACACTAATCACTAACATTACCTTATCCATATGCTTCAAGCGGCCACTGCTTTGGAATTTCAAAGTGTTCAGGAAACCCCGCCCTCACACTGAGCTAAACTCTATCCTCAGACAGATTGCTGGTGTTGGATATAACCTATTAATATTATTTACAAAATCTCTGTACAATCAAATACACACATAGAAGCAAGGTTTAGTCCTGCCAGGGTTTCAATGACACATTAGCACAACAGGAAGTTCGACCATATTACATATCATGATGCAGTGTGGGGAGAAACAACCATAGAACATAATGTAGTAGTTCTTAACAGGAAAAGCAGTGTGAACGCAAACTGGAACATAGTTTAAAAACAGACAGATGCATAGATCAAATACGTATTCCAGTTTTAAACAGGTCTCACTTTCTGGTCAGGATAAAAACTTAAAAAGGAGACAACTCTCTTAATCAAGACTAAAACAGGACAAATCCAGGATAAAAAAAAAAAAAAAAACAAAAAAAAAAAACACAAAACCAGCCAACAATCCAGAAAGACATAAAAGGCTGAGTTTGGCGCAATGTTTTATCAATGAAGAAGTTACTGCATAGCCTTTAAATGGATACTTCAAAGAGCCTGTTCACTGGTCTTTAAATGCATTTAGTAAACATTCCTAATAGTACTGCAACATGCACTGCTCTCTTTGTCATGGTCCCACAAGAGCAAAATACTCTAGACTATTTTCATATACAAAATATACTGTGATGTTAAGTAGATCAATGGTTTTCTAACAAAAACAGAAGTTAATGAATACTGAAGATATGGGTCAAGAATTATGTGATTCCATTTCTCAAAAGCAACAAAAAATACAGTTTCAACAGTTAAAAGTTATGAATGACAACATGATGAATGATGGTGGAACAGTTTTTTGAATTCAATGCCTAAACTGACCTTAACCAAAAATACAGATAAAAATGTAATAAAATGTCCTGTTATTTTTAAACTTAAGTTAAATGTACTACATGGTACAAAAATCACAAACAAAAATAGTAACTGAAGGACACACGTGAGTTAAGTCCAAGTGAAGGCATATGGGGGAGGTTATGGGATTTTAAAGCAGAGGTGACACCTGCTCAAGGCTATGGTTAAAAATGCAAACATGAAACAAAAAACAAGGCAAAAACAGGATGGGACAAAAAAACAAAACAAAAAACAGATATCATGCATCATTGACACAAGACATGGTACTCAAACTAGTCTTAATTTCAACCACATTGCATTTTTCCCAGAGAATTAGTAGTGTTATGCCCCTCTTTTTAAGTTAGAACAATCATCTACTAATCTATTCAAGATTACACATATTTCAAAAGCAAGTTGTTTGTGAGGGTCAAAGTGGAATACAAGGATCAACTCAAGTTTGTAAAAGGAAAAAAAAAAGCATTATGTCATCATTTAATCTGGGTCTATCAGAATAAGTTACTAAATGAACGATTTTGTTATTTTGTTTTCACTGTAAAATACTGTGCCTACAAGGTTAAGGAACACAACATCAAGATCAGTCTGGAGACAGTGAGGCGTCAGAATGATGCAAAAAGTTAAAATATGATTAAAAAAGATAATGCACAAAAAATAAAAGGCATTTGTTTAAGTACAGTGCAGAATGGAAAAGAGTATTAACACAAAAACAGAAGGTAGCAGAGGAGACTACATTTAAAGCTTCATTCTATTTTCATATTACACACAATACAACCACGTTAAGCAAGGGATTTTAGATCTCACCATCCTTCAGTAATGCTTGTTTGGCTCACCAATAACTGAAGAGTCATTTGCAAAAACAGATAAGTTCAATTTTAAAAAGTGATTTTAGGCTTAAGCTAAATGTATTTTAATGCAATCTAAATAATATTACACCCATCCTTGATAAAATTCACATTATTGTCTTTGATAATATCTGTAGAAAATGGCAACAACAAAAAAATACTGTTTGCCAATTTTTCAACACTGAGATATCTGTTTTTGCAACTGAACTCTTCAAATGATAATGATGTGGCATGAATTTTTCTGCAAATAATGAAAAATAAATAGTAGCCAACACAAATTAAACTAATGCCTTTTCAGTACCTTTTCCTGTAAGCCACATGTTCATCTGAGTGTAATGACTTACTGGGTCAGAAATACAGTTTGCATATGCCTTTAGGAATAGTTTCCCTCTTGGTCCTGTCCCGTAACATACAGACATGTAACACTCTTCAAGGCAGCAGATGGCGCTGTAGTTTAGGTCACTTAGACAATGTGTCACTGGGCAACAGAGGGGAACGAATGAAGGATGCTGAGGCAGACCAGTTCTGCTGTAGTGCTACCAGGAGGAAGACAATGCCTTGGTCCCACCAATGTAGAACTCAGAGTTGCAATGGATGAAAAGAAGCTAGCCTAGGACACTTCTAATGCTATCAATGTCTGTTTAACTTAAAGTCTGCAGGTTGGACGAATATTTAAAATTTGGCTTTAGCGCGCTTGTAGCATGGTGGCAATTACAGCTACTGGCACTTGATTTGACTTCACTGTAAGCCCGAGTGTATGTAAACGGTGTCGTATAGCAGACAACATAAAAAAGATTTCTGCATAAATGTTGCACAACCAGTCACTGGGGCACTACAGCGTTAAAGACTTAATGCTACAGTAGCTATTCACACAAACACGCAAAACAAAACCTCTCCATGCCTCCCACAGGTTACAGGAAACACTAGAGTCAATTACATTAGAGCATAAATTAATCTTACAATGATAAAATCTCTATTATAAGGGAGCCTCTGCTTGGGAGAAGAATATTAGAAGTTATCCTTATTTACAGAATATAAATTAATAAAATGGCTTTTCCCAGTTTCTGTATCTACAGTATATCCCCTCCCATTGAGAGTTCCTTTAGTGGCCTCCAGGAGACCGCTGAGCAGCATTGAGAAACACAGTCGGAGCTTCGACAGTAGTTGACATCACAGTTGAGAGAAACAGGTGCTGGTCACAGGTCATCGGAGGCTTTGAGCAGCTCCATCAGAGCCCCCACTGCTCCAAAATACCCCTGAGAAAGAAAACAAGGGAGATATTAGATTATATTTGAATTTTTAAATGACAGGGCTTTGTAAGTTTTGCTTACCTCATGTTCTAGAAAGAGTGCCTTTAGCTGCCCTTTGGACCAGAAGTCCATGGCATAGGCTAGCAGTTTGGTGGATACTGTGTTGATACGAAGAAAGTTCCCGGCAAATACCACACGTTCAATTTTCTGCAGAAATAAGCACAACAAAGCACAAATCTAAATATAAGAATGATCTACTACAAAGATAGATATTGCCCAACAATTTCTTTGTTTTTGTGTTGATTGACTTTCCAACCACAAGGTGGGGCCAGAGAGTTGATGGGCACAGCAGTAGTATTGCTGTTGTATTACTAGTGATGTTTACTTGTTTTCTTTTTCTATCTCTTTTTTTAGACTGCCACCTTTGATTAGGTTTGTTGACCTAAGGAGAGACTGCATCCAGGTCAGTGTGCTTCTGACCCCAGCGTTGTTAAAAATTCATGGAAAATGTCAAAGGAAAATAAAAGGTTATCTGCATGCTGTACACTATATTCTATTGTGCAATTTGACATGGTGCCAAAGGTTTAGTTACAGACTTCATTGTGTCAAACTTAAGTCCTCATCATACACACGTCTTAATTCCAGGACACTTTGCAGGTTTTATTCTTAGAAAATACACTGGAGGAACAAACAATGAAATACATTAGAGTACTATTACTGTAGGCAGTAGCTAACACACACAGGACGCGTGTCCATGTGCTGTGATAGCCCTGTACAATGCTGCTTGATTGCTATGTCACAAGGCAACACTGTAAAGAAGCCCACAGAACACAGAGGTCTACACAGTTCATTTAGACAAAGTGAAATTACCTGTTGTGCAACATTCAAACAAACATGTGCCTGGTAAGCATACAGTTTGCATCAGAGGTATGTGCTTACCTCATTGACGGCGACCAGGCGAGCGATGGATCCTATGTTATTAGTGATGGTGACAAGAGTGGCCCGGGCCAGATCCTCTTTACTGATGCTGTCACGCTTCTCTTTGCACATCATGTGACCAAAACTGGGTTCAAAGAAATCAGATCAAAGTTGTTTAAAACTTGTTTTGCATAAAAAAACAACTACAGTTAAGTAAATAAAGAAACAATTACTGTCAAAAATGTCATGATAACCTTCAGGAGAGACAAGTTATGATACTGTGAATGTTTATATCATGAGTTTATGATGCCAATAAAAGCAGGTCACTAAACCAGATGAACCTTTGAACACACTGGACTGCGGACATAACCACTCTGATCAGAAAGACACTTGTTTTGAGAGCATAAAATTATGTTGTTTTTTTTCACTAGATATCTTTTAAAACAGTATGCTTTAAATCGGATGGCTTGTAGGACTGTAATGAGTAGGCTAACCTGGATGCCACTGCAGAGCCCTGTAGACCAAAGCGCTCGTAGTCTCCTCCATAAATATCTTTGACCAATTTGTCCACATTAGTGGAATCGCCCTTGCTGGCCATTTCCAGTGCTTCTTCAAATGTCTCACAGCCAGTGAGCAGGCAGCAGAGGCCCAGAAAGGTGCCACCTCCAAGACTGCACAAGAAAGGGGAAAGTGTCACACACCCCGGTTAAGACATTCGAATTAAAAATATTTGGCAATACTCCTATGCACACACGGAAATACAGGAAGAAAGAGTTTAGTTGGACTTTGAAATCACATTTCCATAATGCCAAAGGGGAAAAACAAAAAGGCAGCTAAAAATATCCTTGTCTTTATTATTGTCATTCACACTGTCATAATGGAAAGAACCACCCACAAACTTCTAGAAACAAGGCAGTCACATCCAACATCCTGTTACATCATACACAAGTGGCATATTTTAATACAAACAAAAAACATAAAAATAAAGTAAGGACTGATTTATTTGTTAAAATATGTTGAATAAAATGTGAAAATATTGGGTGTTAGAGCCAATCACATTGGTTAGCATTAACAGGCTTTCCAGCATGGCATAAATAATTGCCAGTAGCTTTTAGTTGAGCAACATTGAGGCAAGTTAATGGTTATATTATTGAGACCCTAGTAAATAATCAGTCATTTGTGGGTTGTATTTGAGGTGGGGCTGCACACCTTGTACCAGTAATCCGTTTATAGTTGTCCTGAGAGTACACGGCCAGGATAGACACGCCTGACCCGATGTTGACCAGCAGCATGGGGAAAAGGTTGTCCAAAGTGCAGGGTCTCTTCACACAGTTCTGTGTGTCTAATGGGTTCTGGAAATAGTAGCACTCGGGGTGACCGTTGAAGCCCACGTGGTCAACATACAGCAGACCACGGATCAGGCAGTCCAGCTCGTCCAGCTTGAGCAACTCCAGATCAGCCATCTACGAGAGGGGGCAGAGAGAAAGGCAGAGAGAAAGGCAGAGAGAAAGGCAGAGAGAAAGGCAGAGAGTGAGAGTGTGAGTGTGAGTGAGAGAGTGAGAGAGAGAGTGAGAGAGAGTGAGAGAGAGAGAGTGAGAGAGAGAGTGAGAGAGAGAGTGAGAGAGAGAGAGAGAGAGGAGGGAGTAAGGTGGGGAGGTAGAAAGGGGGGGTAGGGTTAGAAGATCTCACCATGCATCAAGTAAAGAAGATCATACATGAATAGATGGTATATTGGTGCTTATGTATAAAAGGCTAAATAAACTCATGTTTCATTTTATTTACTAATCTCCTGCTAACTCACTCCATGTCTACTCCTTTCTGTTACTCCATACTTATATTTTTTATTAAAATGAATAAAATTTAAAAAATTTAATCTACTAGAAACAATGGCGAAAAGTGAACTCTGAACTCACTGAAGTTTGCAAAGATTATATAGACACTGACTGACAAATATATTAGGATCAGATAGGGCTGGGCGATATGGATCAAAAAATATATCTCAATATATTTTGCAATATCTCGATATACGATAAATATATCTCGATATATGTTGAAGAAAAAATAACCCCCTAAAACTGAAAACTGCAAAAACAAATCTGCCAAATTCCACAAGGTCCTTTTTTTTTTAATTGAATTGTAAGAGGTCGGCAGTTCATATAGGAACATTTAAGATTATAAAAAACCCTAATTACATAAATAATAATTTAACTGTAAAATAAAAGAAATAATACATATTTCCTTCTTTTCATTCATAAATAAAACAACTCAACACAAGCTCATCTTTGCATTAACTCTGTTATCCAAACCAGAACCAGAACCATGAGCTCATTTAGCAGAAGAAGCTCAGGATGTTCCTTATTTTAATAGATCCATGTTCCTATCCAGCAGTAAGGAGCTCTGAGGTTTAATCCCACAATCCACTGCAGATCAAACCCAACGTTTCCAAACACTATTGTACAAGTGACACTGCAGCAGATTATTAATTAAAATATTCTGCATAAATAAACTTTACATTGCTAAACTTTACAATATATAAAGCATAACGACTCTAGAGCCACATCAGCCCGTTTGCGATAATAATGTGTTTAATGCAGTTTTGCGCACGTGTGTTTACATTTTACAGAAACGAAACTTAAGCGCATGGCTCATTTGCATAAACAGCGCACTTCTCATGCAGCTCAGGTCGTTTAGCTTCTTTCGGGCTAAAGGACGCGACTCAGTGGAATATGAGGATGTGCTGCTGATGGTTTTGTCTGTAAATGGTGGAAAAGGTTCGTGGTGCTTGAAGCTTTTCACTGGCACCAACTTTCGGCGTTCACGGTGGTAGTGAGAAGTGAAGGAGACACGAGCGAACAAAATCAGGGAGGCGGGGGCGCGCGAAGGCGACGAGAGAAGGTAAACAAGCGAAGCGGTGAAATCAGAATTGAATATAAGCATTATATCGATATATATGATATGTCAGAATTCATATCGAGTTTAAAAACTATCTCAATATATTTAAAATATCGATATATCGCCCACCCCTAGGATCAGATATTTATATGATTGCAAAAATAATTTAGTAGCAACAGATAAAAAAGAAGAGAAAGTGTAAGCCCCTAAGTAAATGTGTTATTTTGGTTTATGACTTGGGTATAGGATAGCTTGATATTAGGCCAACATCAGACTCACAGTTCGGAAATCATTCTCAAACTTGTAGGCTCCGCCCCCTGTAGCGCAGAGTGTTGTGTGTAGGCTGGAGAAGTTCTTGTCACGGCCCATCTGAATGAAGCGGTGCATGGCCTGTATCGGGAAACGGATGAAGTGAAGATTCCCTGTTCGGCCACACATGGTCAGGTTTCTCAACTCCAAGTGCACATCCCGGACTCCTGTTTTACCTTCACAAACAAGAAGGAGGTCATATTTACAGGTTTAAAGCTAAATGAATGAATACATGCGTGATACTGGGTACACACCATAGGCCACATTTGAGGTGAGGTAGCGGCGGATAGACTTGAGGTTTTCCACTTCCTCCTGCTCTTCTTCTGCAGTGATATCAACAGGCTCAAAGTACACCAGCTTCACTAGGGTGCCCCCGATGTCCATTCCAAACCAGGGGAAGGCTGTGCATAGAAAGCAAACAAGTACATTACAAATAAGTAAAAAAAAATTTGCTCCACAGAAAGGGCCTCCCAAGTAAATGTAATACATTGAATTTTGCCACGTCAACAAAACAGAAAAAAAATACTAGTTTCCATGGTAACCAAACCCCCATCCATGACTGAATTTTCTTTGTCTTCAGCTCTCACTTCAGTTTTGGGACGTAACTAATTCTGTAAGTATGTATTAAGAATATGAATTTTGAGTAACTGAATTCAGGTACAGTTCATTTGGTGGTATCCAGAATATAGTTACTTCTCTAAAATCAAAGAAAAAAGTACTTCATCATGAAAACTGAAGCTTCAAACTGCAATGTATTAGTGAGAAAAATCCCACATGTAATCACCACAAAGTGATTTTTCCTTTTCTCTTCAGTGATGGCAATCGTTAGTTAGGTAATCAAGGAGTCAAGGCGTACATTACAAAATATTTAATGTAGGTATTCTGTAACTGATTGCATTTATAAAGCTTTCCACCGGTTCTACTAATTACCTTTTCTTTCTAACCAGCTCTACTGCATAGCTTTTCTTTCTAACCTGTTCTATTGCATATCTTTTCTGTCTAATCTAGTTCCAATATTTTGTCTGATAAACCAGATCAAGCTTTTTACAGCCCCTGTTTTTATGTTTTCCTGTCTCTGTCCCTTCCTTATCTTTATTGTCTTAATCTGTTTGCTAGTTTTGTCTGAGTGATGAGTCTTATGTAAAAGAGTCTTGACCATGAGTCTTAATGTAGAAGTTATGTGGGACAATTTAAATGTAGAAAATGTAGATGCCATAGGTCACAATAAGGACCTTGTGCAGCTGAAAACATGTGGTTGTTTTGACAAATGCAATTGTAGAAAACATTCAACTGCTAATGCCACAGTTCTCATGCACAGCTGCAAACTCTGCCTGCTTCTCTGCTGTGCTACAATTTAATTTTGTCATATGAAGAGGACACAGGACTGTTTTGTGCAATAATCCTGTTTCTCATAGAGATCAAGTTCAATCTCTTAGTCAAAGACAAATTCTGTGGACATTTCAACACTTGCCCACAGTGCCCTTTGTGGTATTCAGTTTATATGTCATGCATGATATACCGCTACAGAAACATACTGTGATAAACGATAACATAGAAACTTTATGCCTCAATTTCAGTAAAAACAGGATAATCCCAGTAAATCATTATTAAATAGACTGTATCATTAAAAGGCCTGAGCTGGAACAAATAAAGAACAGAATGAACCCTAGAATAATTATCCAGAGAAGTCACATATTCAACCCTCTGCAGCTTAAATATTATTGTATTACAATAAAAATACCCCAAATCTCACAACGTTTGCACAGAAACTGTGCACACAATTAATTTTGAACCTCAAAATATATTGTCCCAGCTTTCATATATTGAATGAGAGGTTAATATAATAATTATGGTGACAGGCCTAGGCAGTGCATCTAATTCTAAACTCAGAAGTTGTCTAAACCCCAGTGAGAGTTTGCAGTGCAGTGATTCTCTGGGCTTATTGAGGCAAAGTCCACTCTCAGATTACAATCACTTCTTGTGCTTTCAGGTCGAGTCGCTGAGAAACACTATATGTTTGTTGTTGAATACCAACTATTTAAAAGACGTCATGTTTTTTTTGTTTGTTTTTTTTACAAGATATGTGTATTGTGAATTGCATCTTAACAATACAGGGGTATTTGACTTTGCACTCCCTTGTGCTTTGCAATGATTAGACCTTTTGTGTGTGTCACCTATCACCTCTTTATTAACTATGTGGTTTACTCTTTAACCTTTCAAATTCCATTCTCACCTAGCTTAGATGTACATTTTACAAGGAGATATTTATTGTGCAATTCCGGGTCTTTCTGTATTGACCAAGTATTAGGATGTCATGTTCTCATGCAAACTACCCAGATACAGCTACAGTTGTTCTCATGCTAACAATGGCCAGTCTGTAAGCAGTCCCCCTTGAGCACTTTCTGAATTAAAACACCATTATCGGTAAAGACAAAACTGGAGGTGATTCTGTCTGTGAAGGTAACCAATACTACATGTTCTCAGAAACAAGTCATTCATTCATTCATTGCATTAGCTATATAGACTAGCATCAACTATAGAAGCAGACACACTGCTAAATTATACACAAACTTAAAAACATTATGGTGTCTCTGTAAATAAAAGTATGTAGGCTACAATGCAAACAGCAGTTTTGCCATAAAATAGATAAATTCCTCTTTAAACTAGGCCATCATGGTATACATTTAAAGAAGACATATTATGTCTGCTATATAGTTATAATCTATGACATCCATGAATCATCATGGTATAATTTGGACATTTTAAATTGCAATGTTCATGTTAAATGAATTAATAAACAAAACAAATCTCCCAACTTCCACATTAGAAAACTGTGGTGCCCAGTTGGAGATGATGTTGTTATAAACATCATCACAACAAAGAGCTGTGCAGCTCTCAGGACCTCCGACCTCCAGCAGCACACCATGCTAGAGAAATGCTGATTTTTTTTTTTTTAATACCAAAATAACTATGCAATGCTGTCGAATCCTACGTGTATCATTAAGAAAATAAAATTTGAGAATAAGGTAAATACTGAGCAGTGTTTATATGCTGTGATGGTGAAAATGGGAAAAGGAGTCCTGAAAATATTAAAATCAATTAAAGATCACTCAAACATGCATGAATGACTCCAAATACAACTTTGAGAGGGTAAATGAGAATGCACATATATGAGTCGATAAAGCTGAAATACTAAAGAAAATCTGTAAGACTCAGACCTACTATTGGTGATACCAGACAAACAACAAGCCTCTTTCAAGAATATGCACAGTACAAGTTGCCCTGATGCCAGTGACTTCTATACACACCTGGACAAATGTCCTAACTCAATTATAAGTCTGTTCTTATGGCTATTATACTTCCTCGTATAATTGTTTTAAAACTATATTATTAGATAACAAGATAACAACTGCAGTATTGTAGAATAGTAAATTGATTTGGCCAACATACGCGGCTCATAATAATAATAATCTGCGGTATAATTAAAGGACTGGTTCGCAAGTAAAGCTCAAAAGGTTATTCAGGTTTATCAGAGCAGCTGGATGCTATTCAAAATGATGCCGTGGATATTTCAAAATGTACCTGCAGTGTCTCTTGGTGATATGTGAGTAAGCACGTGCAATATGAGTAAGGGTATGCAAAAATATTGAAATATCGTATAGTTTAATGTGATGACACAGTATATATAACAGTTTGGTATATTTTACAAAATAATTTTGTTACAGTGCTACAGTTTTGTTGTTTGTTTAGTGAAGGGAAACTCATTTGTGCAACTCATGTGACATTTTCACTGTTTTCATTATTAAAATTGGTGTGTTTCATATAAACTTTGCATAAGAAGTGGTTTAACAAAGACTTTTAGTATCACAGCCATGACTTAACCATTATTTTTATTGAACTGCATCAAATCTATATGAAATATATTGTATAGATTTTGAAAGCTCACTGTATCGAGATATGTGTTGTAACGTGGCCTATGTATTGAGGCATGTATCGTACTGGCAACTTCTTAATGATACCAAGCCCTAAATATGAGGCAGGGCATTCTATTAACATCAAATGGTGCATTTGTTTTGGACTGTCCCTTTAAGATCCTTTATATAGGACTTCCTGATCAAATAAAATTAATAAATATACTTGTAGTACTAGTCTCAAGTGTCAAAGAACTGGTATGGTACTCAAGCAGAGCATACTTTTGAGTAGTCAAAGCAAAGCAAATATACTGGTAGAAAAGCAATGACAGATGGGATAGAAGAGTGAGGGGCTGTCACTTTCACTAACAATCCCAACAACTTTGTCAAATGACTACAACTGCATACCACGTCTGTCTATTCAGAATACTACTAGTACAATGAATAATTACTTCAGCCCCTATAACCAAAATAATAGCAAAACTGACTTAAGAGACACCTTCTTATTGATTTTAACCAAGATCTAAACAACAGCAGAAACCAGAGAACACTTACCTGGTTTCTTATCGCCAACAAACTTCATTGTCGAAGGCACTATTGGCTAACAAGTGAAGTCAAAACTACTTCAGTCTTGCAGAAAGTGCGGCCTTGATAGTGTGTCTACTCTTTTATGGCTTAACACAGCCAAACATGCACAATTTAACTCATTCTTTGCTAGTTTCCAACAGACTCCCTGTCACATCAGGCGGAAGCGCACCACGCCAGTAAATAAGGGGGCGGGGTTCTGCCTCATGGAGACAGAGGGGGTGCGCTGATTGGTCAAGTCAAGCCAAGCCCACTTATCAGGAGCTCTTTCACCACCGCCTCTCCACCAATCAGAGCACACCAACAGCAGCCACAGGGTCCACAAAACAAAAGGGGGTCTCCCTGACGACGACGGCTTAAAGGAGAGAAACGGGATGGACATTAGGACATACAGTCAATGGGCACAGCCTGCAGTTTCACCCTTAAAGCAATACATGAATTATTCAACCGAACATCTTTGTGTAAGGAAAAAAAGCAAAATGGGCAATGATATCCATCCATGATTACTATGAATGAAAGTGTTACACATTATAACAAAATACTTAGACACACGGCAATGACACTGCTATTGACTAACTCGCACTTATACTCACGGGGTCTGTTCCGCCGTATGGACTCGGTCCTCCTCCGGAGCCTGGACCTCTTGGCCGGGGAGCCGGTGCAGTCCGGCTCGTCCCCTCGGTGCAGATGGTGCATGCTGTCTCCGTTGCTGTGGCTGTTGTGTCCGCTACTGCAGGCTCCATTTGCTGTCACAATTGTGGGACTCTGAAAGCCCCGCTGGCTCTGTCCATTAGCCATATGAAAGGGCCCCGACGCCCCCTTCTTGTCCATCATTGACTTGGCTTTATCCATGACAGCTGTTAGCCTAGCCTTAGCTTAGCATCTGCAGGAAAAAAAAGGAAAAAGGCTTGACGCCTGCGACGAGAAACCAGGCTACCGTACCTTAGCTTAGCCCGCTAATGTTAGCACCACGGCAACACACTCGTAATAACGCACTCACAGATGGCCTTTGGCCCTTTCCTTCACAGAGAAAATAACGATCGGACTAAACCTCAGCGCACATTGCAATAATGCTGAAACAAGCGTGTGTACAAACAGCGGCTACACCAGCGTGTCGTCTTCGAGGTCACTCTCGGTCATTTCCCCACATTGAGCTGTGCGCGGCGGCTGCACCGGCGCTGCTGCTGCTGCTGTAGCACCACCCCTACGTCACACAGCCCCAACCATACAGTCTATGGCTCCAACTGTGCGACGGTGAACCCGGTCACCTCCGCACACTGTTTTCACTCTTGGCATACGGTCATACACATTGGCATACACTATCTAACCGGTGGTTTCTATTTGATAATTATTAAGATAATTAATCGATGACAGTTCACCCGCACGTCTCTCTGCTCTGGTGCACGCAGCAGAGCTCTGCCTCTGTCAAGTGTAGTCCCACAAGATTAATGTGTATGCGATCATGCAGTCCAAGCCTATAGTCTACATGTTTTATGTGCGGGACCAATGTTAAATGTAAAAACAAACAAACAAACAAAAAAGTAAAGATTTTTGTAGCACGGCTAGGCTATCAATGACAACGATTCACTGCCATCGTGTGGTGAAGCTGTCTGTTAGTGCTGATCAAACATTGTCAATAGCCTATATTCTACATATAGCAATATGTAATACTGTGTACAATATATACTGTTGCTGATGTATAGAGTGGTTGGTTGGCTGAAGTTTAATTTTCATAAAACATTCCTTGGTGGGCAAATTTCCATGGCAACACAGGAGGGCTTGACTTGTTAGTTTGGACTTGATTTTAGCTTAATATATGCTCAAAATAAGTCACAACTGCAGTCTTTCAGTTAGTCACATTCCAATGCTATCCTTAAAAACGTATGTACATTGTGCTGCCACTGGTAACATTACCCCTAAACGTAACACAAAATGACTCTGAAACAACAATCTATGCTGCCCACTGGGGGTTAATTAGTCTAGTCTAAAATGTGACAGTTTCATTCTCCTAGATGAGAGGCAAATCCATGGGTCTGAATCTAAGGGTAGAGGTTACACAGACTGAAGTGTACATTTTTTATTTCATTTTTATTTTGATCACTTATATCTGAAATCATGGCCAGGTTCAGTTTGGTAATGTGGTTTTGGGTATTTTATGATCATGTAAGACTTACATGATCATAGCCCAGTACACATCACTTACATTGTAAGTGATGTGTACTGGGCTATGTCTCCATACTTATACATCATAAAAATCCATGATGACTGCTTGCCTATATGTTTAAAAACGTAATGTGCTTTATTGATTTAGTACAGCTTAACTTAACTGACACATTTACATGATATTAAGTGAAGGCAAAAGTGAACACACGTTTCCTGTGTTGGTGTGTGCTACCAGGGCAACTCTGACCCATCCCAGCTATAGGCTTTACCAGTCCTCTTGATATTCAGTGTGTCAATGATGTTCATTAGGCAATTGACGGAGTGCTCAGTGCTGAACAACTTGTCTTTTGGTACATTCTTGTGATAAGGCCTGGACAGATCTGTGTTTACTGTTCCAGGGTGTAAAGACACACACAGCACCTGAAGAAAACAGTTAATCTCTGTGAAGACTTGTGAAGGCCAATGGATTGATCAACATTCACTTACCTTCTGCCTGCCACGGCCCAGTTCTATGGACAGATTTCTTGTTGCCATATTTAGTGCTGCTTTTGACATCCGATAACTGTACCATCCACCAAGACCTATAAAGTGCAAAGAAAGCAATATTAAGAGAAGAAGTTCAGTGAACTGTACCAAATAGCACTGACCTTTGTGAAAGACCAGGTACCAGATAGTAGCTGATATTTGTACTCACCATTGTCACCAATGGATCCAACTTTTGCAGTAATGTTAACAATGATTCCGCTGTGCTGTTTAGAATTATCTTCAGGCTGTTGACCAAAGCCTCCTCCACCTTTCTGCAGAAGGGGTGCAAAATACTTGGCCATGACCAGAGGACCCACTGTGTTTGTGGTCAACGTAGATATGATGCCCTGTTACAAGAAAAAGAAAATGAACGTCTCCCTAAATTTCCCGCTTTAGTAAGCCTGCATGGCATAAATGACATAAAACATAGATTTAGCTATGCGAAGGAACAAGCTTTTCCCACCATTGTCTGTTTTTATCTTTTGATAAAGGATGTTACAGCCATACCTGTGCAGACACATCCCTCAGACTGGTTTCTCCTTTCCCTGAGGGGTGCAGCAGGGCGGAGGAGTTGACGAGCAGGTCCAGCCGCCCAAAGTTCTGCTTCAGGAGCTCCGAGGCTCCTCGGATGTCCTCCTCACGGTTCACGTCCAGTCCGAGCAGCGTAACTCTCCCAGGGTGCTGGGTAGACAGCTCCCTTAATTCGGCTGCTCCATCAGGATTCCGGCATGTGGCAATGACAACAGCTGGACTTTTATTTTTTAAAATGTGTTTGCAGAAAGCAAGCCCCAATCCTCTGCTGGCCCCTTGAATGAGTGCTACGGGGGCAGCCATGACGCCAAATACATAAGAGTGAGTTCAAGCTGCGTTCATGTTCCAGCTGCAAAGACCAATGCATTTACTATTCAGTAAACTATTCAACCTAATCTAAACAGATACATTTTGTTGTATACATATACATGTGCATACATTCAATAAAGTTGTAGTATTAGCACAAATAACCAACTATAGATCAGTAAAGTACTCTAAAATATTATTTTAACTAAATCCCAGTGCGGAAAATAATATTTTACGAGTCGCCCAGAAAAGCAGCAAATTGCACAACAAAGGTACGACGCCCTCTGTAGGCATTTATGGGGGACACTTACACAACCGCGTTAATTTCAACTAAGGAACCTTTGTTGTCTCCAATTTGATATGTTACTTTATTAATTTTCTTTTGCAGCTGTACTACCTGAATATGTACGTCAATTCAACATCATAATATTTCGCGTATGTTTTTTGCGGTTGGGTTGCTATTATTTTATATCTGTCCACTAGATGGCAGCCGTGTACTTTTCGAACTAGACAAAGCATTGTCCGAAGAAGAGAAAGCTAAACGCGGTTGCTTAGCGACCAGTGGAAGCTGGTGGAGCTAGCTGCTAAACGAGCTGCTAATTGATGGACTGGGCTTTTTGAGACAAACAAATGGCACCAAAAAGAAGGGGACATTTGCAGCGTATTCACAAAGATGCGGAGACATTTAAAAAGAAGGTTCGTTTGACACTTAATTTCAAGAAAAACGGGAACATGTGTGTTTTCCTTTCTCCATTGTATATGAGTAATGTTGCATTTTATTAGCAATTGTTTGTTATACCTGGTATTAAGATATAGATTTTTATGCTGTTAGGTGGATTTTCTAGCGACTGATGTGCACAAAAGGAGTGAATCCACATCAGATTTAATACAGAGGTATTTTTTTCATTGCATTAATTGCCATCATTATTATTCTTTACATTGTGGTTTTACCTTAACCTTAACCATAGTCAATTATTGAAACAGGTGCCAAAAACTGCAAATCGATGGAAAAAAGACCTTAAAAGCACTTAATGGTCTGACAAAGGTTGGTGTAATGTGGCTTCATTTTATAAAATCAAGATAAGATTTTGATGAATTTGCTTTTTGTGTTGGAAAAGGCTGATGAACCAGCCCCTGTTGGGAACTATGAGCAGAGGAAACAAGAGGAAGTGACAAAACTGCAGAACATACTGAAGCATTTGGAGACATTGTTTTTGGAGCTGTCACCACCAGGACCCAGCTCTACTAAAGAGTCAGCCCTGAGTGCACATCTGATATGCTCAATGACTGTGGTAATACCTGTCTAATCTATATAAATCTGTGTTTAGTGAAATAACAACTGAGGATGGAGAGAAAGAGGAGGATGAGGCCGATGACAGTAATGGTGTCAGTAATGAGGATGATGATGATGATAATAATGATGATGATGATGATGATGATGATGAAGAGACCGAGCATGTGAGCCCCCTTCAGTCAGGCTTCGGGAGTTACACTGTCCTCTGTGACTTCAGTGGAGAACAAGAAGGAGATCTAACTGTAAAGGTAAAGGTTTTCAGTTTACTATGTTTTTGGTGGCCTTGCACAGTTGGTTATCACCTTGGCATCATGGGTTTGTGTCCTGCCCTCGACCATTTGCAGAATGCCTCTACCCTCTCTCAGTCCATCTCATTCTACAGCTGTCCTATAATGCCTATATTTTTTTAAAGTTCTATTTATTTATTACAGTAGTAGGATTTCTGTGTACTTAGATATGTTTTAATACGTGAATTTAAGATCACTGATATATTTGCCTATATACTTATATAAGATATATTTCAACTATGTGCGAAAAGGATAATATCTTGAAGTACTACAATAAAAAAACAAAACAACCAACCAAACAAACAAACAAAAACATCTATTTTTGACAAAAGGATGTAAATTAATAATACTGATAATTTAAGTCAGTCACATTATACATGATCACACTCAATGGCTATAAGCACTTGTTCTTTAAAGCAGCTCTGCTTGTGTACAAGTCTCTCCATGGCCGAGCACCAAAGTACATCTGTGACATGTTAGTGTCATATGAACCATCTCGCACTCTGAGGACCTCAGGGACCGGCCTCCTGCTGGTGCCCAGAGTCAGGACTAAACAAGGGGAGTCAGCGTTTCAGGTTCATGCAGCTAAAACCTGGAACAGTCTTCCTGAACATGTGAGACAGGCCTCTTCTGTGACGCTGTTTAAATCCAGACTCAAAACATTTCTGTTTAACTGTGCATATAACTGAAAGGTTTTCATTCCGCACTCTTCTCTCCAATTTATGTCTCTCTTTTTTAATTTTAATCTTCATGATTATTTATGTTTTGATTTGTTTTTATTATGATTTTAATGTATTTCTTATTCTGTAAAGCACTTTGAATTACTTTGTGTACGAATTGTGCTATACAAATAAACTTGCCTTGCCTTGCCTTGCCTTCTTGGCTACAGAAAGGAGAGGTTTTGACCATCATCAGAAAAACAGCTGATGGATGGTGGCTTGCCCAAAATGCTGGAGGAAATAGAGGATTAGTCCCAAAAAACTATTTAAAAGTAAGTTCCATATTTAAAATATGATATTAATTTAATGTAATCAATGGGCAACTGAATGCTTATTGAATCCAAATTATATTTCAGTTTGGTGTTGGTGTGAGTGAAGAGGAAGAGAGTGATGAAGACAATGATGAAGATGGCAGTGATGAAATGGAGGATATCCCAGAAAAATCTGATGAAGAAAAATATGGAGATGCCGAGAACAGACAGAGGTTTCATTTAATCAATTACAACTCCATCTGATTAAAACCCAAATCACACAAAAATCACCTAACAATTTGACCACCCTTTCACTTGTTCTACATTTCCTGACAGCACTCCTCATTCCAACTGGTCTACAGTGAGAAAAGCCCTTACAGAGGTGTGTATTCAGGTATTTTGTACTGAAATAATGAACACACTCACATATTTAGTGTGTTACAGATTGATGCAACAGATGTCCTTTCTGCCATGGGTGCAATACCTTCAGGATTCAGACCATCAACTTTAAACAAATTGCACACAGAGGAAGGTGATTTGAACACAATTTGTTGCTTGACTTTGATGTTATCAAATCTATAATTATGTTAATATTTGACAGGGATAAAATACAAAGGAAGTCATTACCTCCAGCCTGAACTTAGCCAATCACAACTCTCCTTTAAAGACCTCTTCTTTGACCCAGACTCAGGCAGAGTGAGAGCAGCACAAATGCATAGTACATTTGATGTCTGAAAGTAATTTGTAAAATGTATTTATTCAAATGATGGTCTGATTTGGTGCATAGGTCCGCCCTCGACAAGTTAAAGTGAATGTTTGTTTCACTCTGTGGAGCTGTAAGCAGATTCCTACGCCTGGGGTGGGAGTCCAGGTCCTCAGCAGACACATCCACCTCTGTGCCTTTGACGGAAATCAGGTTAGGATCATTCAATGCATTTATTTCAATTCTATTTAATATTTTAGACTAGTTTTTGGCCCTTGTTTCCAATTACAGAATTACCTCTACCTGTGTCACATCTGTGTTCTATGTCCAAATCAGTTAGTAGTATTTTGGTCATTTCAAATGGTCTATCATATATAGCTTCAACAGATGCAAATGTAGAGTTCATTTCTGATGATGAAATTAAGAAAAAAAAGACCAACATATTTTAATGATATGCCAAAGAATATCAAGAGAATACCATCTACAGTAAAATATTTAAATGAGATACAAAAAGAGTAGAACTAAATTTAAATGACTCAAAATGTTTCCAATAGGAATAAAACATTTTTTCTTTGTAGTTAATTTGGCAGTTTATTTGTTTTTGTGTCAAATGATTGAAAAATATATTAAACTATGTTTGTTTTGAAAAAATTAACGGAATCAGTATTTCAGGTGTTAAGTAACATCAACACAGTCAGAGTGACGTACAACCCCAAGAGCCCAAAGACCTGGACCTTCTCACCAAGGGTATAATAAAGACATAGTATGACTGTAAAATTTTATTCATACCAAAGTAAGACTCATCATGATGAAAATAATGTTTCAATTGTACAATAATGATGTATGTTTGTGTTAGATGAGTGGTATATTACCCACTCTGCTTGATGGAGATTGTTTTCTACGTTGCAACTCATCATCTCCAGACTTGGGCATCCTCTTTGAACTGGGAGTCACTTTCATTAGAAATGTAAGAAAACACAAAAAAAAAATTTCATACTGATAATTATTACAGAATCATTACCATTAAGAAGATTTTGCTTTGCTTACTAATTTGAATAATTATGTAATTTATAAAAACATAATTTGATCTAAATTGTAGTCAACTGGTGAAAGAGGAGACCTAAGTTGTGGCTGGGCCTTCCTCAAGCTGACAGATGATAGTGGAAACCTGCTTCCCAATAGGTATTATTATTATTATTATTATTATTATTACATATTAGACTGTCTTTTTTTTCTTATTATATAATGATATATTATATATAGTTGTATATATTCTTTTACACAGCCTATGATTCTTTAGAAATCACCAAAAGTTACAGTAGTTCTTTGAATGTTATGTTTCACGTGTAGGACCTATGAGTTGCCAGTTAACGGTGGAACACCTTATGAAAAAGATGTGGCAGTGGAAGCTTCAGCCACCAGAGGATGTAAGACTGTGAATTGTATCAGTTATTTATTGTCTTATATTTTTCTCATACACAGCACAAAGGAATGCTTAATACTTGATTTATTTCCTCCTTTCAGCCCCAACCAGTGTGTTCCAGCAGATGCTCCAGTCCAGACGGCAGCCCAAACTCATTATTAAACTGAAATCTCCCGATAGCCGCACCAGGGCACTGCTGAGGTGACGATAGGAGTGTTCGAATGGCATCTCAATTTGAGGGAAATCTGGATTGTGATTTTAATTGCAATTTTAGGTTATATTTGCAATTTTATTTTTCAGATCAGGAGTATCATTTCTCTCTCCATACAGATGTTATTGCTTTGCTTAAAATGTTCCACAGTATGGCATTAAATGTACCTATCTCCATGGAGACACGCAGATGGCACCATCAGGCCATGTTACACAGTCAAGTCTGGAGATGCGAGTTTTTTTTAAGGGATTTACATATAAACAACCAAGAAAATGTTAGAGAGAATATCTAATGCCTTACCTTGGAACATTCTAGGGAAAGCACAAACATTTCCATGGAGAAAACCAAGTACTCTCCACTAGAAAAGTTACTGACATTGAAATTTTAGATTTGAAATATGAACTGTTAAATGAATCTGTTAAGAATCCCACATATTTAGTTTCTTGTTTGTAGAATTCTTGACTACTGTTGTTAGCAAGATAACATTTGCAGCCTTTGAAATTTGGTAATTGCAATTTAGATTATATTATTTGTGTTATAATTTTAGTTTTGTCCTTTGTGTTTGCGGTCAGCCTGCTCCCAGACACTCTGCTTCACAGTCTGAGCTGTGTCCGTGTCCTGACTCTGCACCGACAGCTGCTGTGTGACACTCTGCTGATGGACAGGCCCACTATGCAGAGCGCAGGTACAGCCAGAGCTACACACAGCCACTATGGTACATTTAATGGTTCTATATTATGCCACATGGCCTCTTGCGTGCTTTAAGCCATGTTATAATGGTGTTACATTCAAAAAAAAAAAAAAATACCTGGAGTTACGTTTTGCTTCATTCACACGTTTGAGTAATCCTGCATTATTAGTCTGTCCACATCGCCATAGCTCAAAATGCTCTGGTCCACCTTGTGATGTCAGGTTGTGATAGTTTTCAAGTTAACAGCTACCTTCTATTTTTTTGTGCAATTGACAATTCCAGGTCTGAAATTATTCAAATGATTCTAGTGAAGGTGTGTGGAGTTTAATATTACCACATGATATCACAAGGTGGTGTTTTCTGTTTGAAAGAAGACCTCAGCCTAAATATGCAGGATTTGTGTGTTAAAAATATGTCAGTGAAACAGAACAGAACTCCAGGTCTGTTTTTCATAAGGAAACAACATTATAGCATAGATCAGAGTAATATGAGCCCTTTCACATCACTGGACCTACAATAACCTGTGTCACTTTGTAGATCTGATCTGCAGTCCAGTTCTTGCCACATTTCCTCTGCTTTTGGATCAACCGGACCTGCTGGATGCTCTCAGGGTAGAGGAAGTATTTCATTATTTCATGGCAATACAAATTTCTATAGGTTCTGTAAGTAAATTCAACTGATTTTGTTCTTGACTTAAAAAAAACAAACAAACAAAAAAAAAAACGGAAATATTAAAACAATTATTATTTATAAAGCTGCAATGATTAATTGGCATAATCATAAATTGTTTATTATAACAAAGACAACACAGCAAAATTATTAAATCAACATGTCAAAAATTGTAATCACTAATATACTTTTTTTCTTAATAAATATTCTCTGTCTAGAAGCCTTCAGTCAGCATATTGCAACCTTTACTTGATTATTTAAATAAGCAATATACAATAGAAATAATTTTCTATCATCAACTGAAGTATTCACTAACTAGTTGACTACTGCTTATTACCCCGGATAGAATTACATTTTGGAAAAGTTTGATTTAATTAAAAGTAAAACTAATAGCAATTTGATTATATTTTATAGACATTCAAAAATGAATGGACAAAAAAAAAAGCAGTGGATTTTTAATCTATCAATTTTTATTTTTTTAATTTTTATTCTTTGTTCTCTAGAGTGCCTGGACAGATGTTGACGCCAGCATGAGCAGATCACAGAGGGTTTGTGTGCTATTTAAAAGAGTTTACATCTTAAATATGACCACATTTGTAATTTCTTTTTTGATTTTTTTTTGTAGAGAAACCTGTCCCACGTGAAGCAGGAGTTTTACAGAGTGTACATGTCTTCTGTCTACTTCCTCCTTCACAGCCCTGCGTTACCGAGCTATCACTGGGCTGACCCCTCCACAGAGGAGCAGAGAGCGCGCATCATCTACACCACACTGGACTCACTCAAACACAAACAACTAAATAGTGAGACACTAGGGGGCGCTGAAGTCTACCTCACCTCAGACCATGAGCACCTGGCCTTTGATATCTCAGAGTGTACCTTTGACCTCCTCAGTGTGGCCAGGTAACATTATCAAAGGAAACTCATTATCACAAATGTTCTAGTTTTAATCAAGCTTCAACAAAGGTTCTGAACTAAGAAGTATGCCCACTATCAATAATAAATAAAAAATAAAATAAGAAAAATTTATAGATTCCAGATCTATCAGAGAAAAGAAGACCTGACTGCACTAAATTAGATCTATTACCAACTACTGGTCTAGATCCAAAACCTTTCTGCAATTAGTTTGTGTTTGACCTTTGTGAACTATTACAACATATTTAAAAGCGCACTATGTAACTTTTTGGTTGGGGGTCTGTCACCAGCTTGTTTTTATGGATAAGTCATTGCACAGTATGACATTAATCAGCTCAACATTGCATTTATTCAATTACAGGTGGATTTATAGCTCAAAATACTTAGAAAAACAGACATTCTTACAGATCTGACCTGTAACTTGGCAGGGTTTGGTCCCTGTGAAGATAGAAAGGTTTAGTACCATACTGTAAAACATTCCAGACAAAGAAATAACTTTTACACAGAGAAAAGCATTTTACAGACCCTCCACGAAAAAAAGTCACACAATGCACGATTAAAGGGCCATATAACATCTATAAAAACATGTTTCACCCACAGTGCTTCAGACCTTTGCTTAGAACTCAGAAAGCCATATATGTGCATGGTACTTGTTTAGATGCCAAATACTCTGATTGCTAAGGAATCCAAAGAATGCAGTTTATAATAATGGCATGAGAGATTTTATACTGTGATCCTATCCCTTGTGTAAATTTATTTTGTGATAAATATTCTTGCTCACAGAGCTGGTCTTTTACATTGAATGAGCATCAAGTGGCTCCCACCCTTTAGGTCAACACGAGAGTGAGTTAGTGTAGTGTTACAGGTGAAGGGGCGTGTCCTGTCCTTTTTATAGATGGCTATAAAAGAAGCTGTAGTGGAGAGTGGGCAGACTAGAGCAGAGGAGCTCAGGTCATCAGACGGTTACTATTTCACTTATGACAACCAGCACAATCATGTTTTCAAGTTACAACAAGGCATCAATTTACCAGGAGAACGGCCTCTTGTTCCTAACTCAGATGACTCAGATGACATAAAACAATTGTAAGAGATATTAAGTAATGTAAGGAAGTTGTACTACAAAGCATTGTAAGAAAATATGCTTTACTAATCCGTAAGCACTTGTTGTTTCGAAAATAATATTGGAGACTGGTTACTTGTTAGGTACAAAAAAGATAAGTTAAAATATCAAAATGCTTAATTAGGACTTGGGCCATATCAGTCTATTCTGGTGACAAGGTGGCAGATTTCTTTATTCATTCAAGTAACACAAAAGTATAACTGGAAAAGGAATCATATCATTTTAATTACATCTTATTAACATCTAATAATGAATGGTTATGTGAAGAACAAACCTGTAGCCTAACCAACTGTTGTGCTATTTTAAACTTAGCTCATAATGTCCCATGTCAGGTAATATGTTGGAGAGAAAAGTCTAGTGCATTATTATAACTATAAAATATATATTATATATAGAACTAACTAACTATACCTAAAGACTGGTTTGAGTTTGTGTAAAATTAAGTTTTTGAGTTTTTTGGTTTGTTTTCTTTTTAATCAAGACAGAGGTCGTTCCGGAGACAGGTTTTTACATCCTTCTTTGATGTCCGGAAGAAAACACACAGAGTTGTGGTCCAGAAAGCTCTTTAACATCCCTCCTAAACTGCCTGAACCTTGTCTCTCCCTGACGCTCTGATGGAGCTGATGCTGGACCTGTATTTCCTCATTCCAGCACAGCTTTTGTTTGGTCAGTATTGTTTTGTGTTCAGTTAACTGGGTTACCTTCAAGGGTCTGGATGCTTTATTTCTAACCATTAAGCCCCTCACAAACATAGTATTTCAACAGTGTTCACAAAGACAAATGCATTATGGTCATTATTAACAACTTTATGTGGTTCAAGTTGTTTATTGCAAATGAGCTTTAGAACATGATACAAGAAATCTTTAGCAAGGCTTGCCAAATTTATTTTTATAGCGCAATCCGTACACAAAGTAATTCAAAGAGCTTAACAGATTAAGAAAGGCATTAAGATCACAATCAATAATACTATGCAGTAGTAAAAATAAGAATATAGTACACATCAAGGTGCCCCTGGCAAAGAGAAACCAAGCATGAGGGGGGTCTGTGTTGGAAGTTTCCTGAGGGGGTCACGCAGTGAGTCGGGAAAGATGATCCCAGAAATACAAGATGTTTTTCTACTGCAAAACAAGCTGGAGGTATATGGAGTTTTATTCAACTTATACAACGTTATACAAAAACATACATCTAAACATGGACTTAAATATATCGGTAGATTGAGAACCAAGTTCTTTGTTCTTTTTAACTCAAAGATCAACAAGGGCAACCGTGTGCCATTTTCATTTTAGAAAAATCAGACTTTGGACCCAAAATATTTGCAAGTGCCCAGCAACATGCTCCTTCATCTTCATCTGAACACGTCACAATCCTGTATTGTTTGGCGCCCTGCTGAGAGTAGTTCCCATGGCATGGTATTTGTGTGTGTTTGTGTGTGTATATATGTGTGAGTTTGTGTATATGTGTAAGTGTGTATGTGTCTGTAGTGCTGAAACCAGACCCATAATGGATAAGCTGTCCAAGGTGTGTCCCTCTTGACACAGGTCAAACACATTTGTTTGCTGCCCACAGAATGCAACCTCAGAGTTAGTACTGATATACGCAATAAGGCCAAATAAAACTGATCTGGCATTACACCATTATAGTAGAACCAGAGCTCAAGTTTATAAGCCATGACTGAATCGTCTCCATATGAGCATTAGAATGCTAGTGTTTATGTCTGATTGTCTGATGTGTGATCATTTTATTGACACTACAGCATTTTTTTTTAACTATATGGCAGCAACTGAATGATGAGGCTTGGCTCACAGTAGGAAATCAGTGGAGACATTTTCTGAGATTCAATGAACCCTATGTTTTTATTATATCCTGCTATACATGTAAAATCATTGTGTTACAACATTTTATGACCTGTAGGCCACACCCACACAGTCCCGTGTCCTTCCCCTTAGATTACAGTAGTCTATATTTAGCAGAACGTTGTTTTTAAGCATTTGTTACACCAGTTACTGTGCTAATCCATCTTTCCGCCACATGCCTGTATTTGAATATGGCCCACATTGTATGCAGAGTTAGCATTAAGGTTAACCTGAAGAGGAATGGGTGCCACCTGGGTGACATTGGCCTAAGCTCACAGGACAGTTTGACTCAGGGTAGGGCTGAGCAACAAACAAATATGGCATCATCATTATCATCACTTAGTGTTAGCTATTAACAACTGGTGAATAAGATTACAGAAAAAATAATCAGGACCACTTCTGTCAGACAGGAAACATCATAATTTAGAGTCAGATCATAAAAACCTGATAACATTGCTGCAAATTTATTGAAACAATGATCACTTCAATCAGCTTGGCAGCCTCACATGTAACATAATAAACAAACTGTACTCTTTAGATTAGAAATTTGCACTCAAATTAGCAGACATAAGAGAAGGATTCAGAAAAGACGGCATTATGGGAGTGTTCAGGCAACTGTTTTGTTCTGTTCCCCCATTCATAACACCAGTCCAAACGTGTCCCCAGTAAACCACCATACACATAGTATACAGTATACTACCATAGAAATGAAGGCCTGGTGTCAGTGCTTTGCCACCAATTCTTTTTCCAATAATAGATGTGGAATCATCAGCATCTGAACAATATTTTCTAACATTTACTAACATTACACTTTTTGGTAAACTCTACAAAAAACAAGTCAACAATAAGACCATAAAAGCATCCTCAACATAGTATTAACAAGGACACTTCCATTTCATTGTTGACATTTCTCTGTCATCCAACTCTTACAGAATTGTCCTTCTTTAATGATCCTTTATTATGCAAAACTTTGTTATGTTATAATCTTGCCACCTCCTCAAAAACATACCTGGAGTTGTGTTTTGTTTCATTCACACATGTCTGAGTAATCCTTTATTCTTTCTGTCTTTATTTAGTCTGTCTACATCTTCAAAGCTCCAATTGCTCTGTTCGACCTTGTGATGTCATGAAGTGATAGTTTACAACAGCTACGTTTTACCTTTAATTCTGTTGAGATTGGCATTTCCAGGGCTGAAATCATACAAATGATTCTAGTGAAGGTGTATGGAGTTTAAAAACACAGTGGAGCACTTCCTGTATTACTGCATGACATCACAAGGTGGAACTGGTAATAACTAGGTGTTTTCTGTTTCAGATAAGAATCTATGTAGGGTTTGTGTGTTAAACATGTGTGTGTGAATGAAACAAAACACAACTCCAGGTATGTTTGTGATGAGCAAACAACTTTATGACAGATCAGAAAATAGAGTAATATGAGCCCTTTAGCATTATCAGTTTCCTTGGTTAACTTAGAAGACATACACTCTGCTCGTCTCATTTTATCTTGGTCATCTTGTCTCCTAACAGTCCATCCTAGTTCCTATTTAAATCTCCTTGCGTGGAAGCATAGTCAGGCTTGAATATACAAATACTAACGTGCAGTGTTGAGTATTCAAGTTCACCAGGTCTTGGACTTAACCCTTATTTTCCCTAACGTCTAAGAATAGCATCATTTGAATATTTAAATTTAGCAACAGCTTTATTATCGCCAGTATTTGTTGAAAGAAACACCAAAGGAAATATTTCAACAGGAAGACATTTTGATGTATATTTTATGGAATACTTCTGACTAAACTGTGAATGTGGCATTAAATATATGAGCTGTTGGCATTGTTCACTCTTAATCCTGCAGCGTAGATACTGTTGTTTTGCTTATCTGGGAGACAAAACACAGAAACTAACAAAGGTGACGGCCTCCATGATTCACACTAAGAAGAATTAGCTTCAGTTGGAAAAACACACCATCCCTTCTTCTTTTGTGCTGCAGTGAAAACTTTAAATCTACACCCATGCAAAATTATCGTTAGTATTAAAGTATTAATAATACGTGCTCAATGGCAGGTGTGGCGAGTTGCAACATGTTACTTTTTGCAACTACATCTACTATTGAGTATTTGAGTATTTATGCAGCGTTGTAACTTAGTACCACCATCTTTCCATTTATGATCTGAATAATAGCATACTTTTTCTACACTACGACAAAATTACTTTGCCTACATTAATCTAAAACACTACTGCAACTTTTATAATAGCTAGCATTGCCAGTATCATTTCAAAAATACTTGTATTGTCAAGTGTATTGTGTGTATGCAATGTAGCATGAGGACTGTTATGGTGTATGACCATGTGACATTAGGTAGGTTCACCTTTACCTTTTTTCCCTTTGTAGGTAGAATTTTAAATAAAAAGGATCAGTCATTTTCAAACAAACTAAATATATTCTTTTAGTTATCCAATCCATCTCCACGCTGTTCATTCTTTCTTAGTGTTACAGACCCCCCTTCGACCACACGGCAAACACACAAACAGCACTTTTTGGATTCGTACATAGACCTCCCGGGGTATTTGAGTTGAGGTGTTTTAAGATGGATCCAGATCGTTTAACCCCTTAAACGATCTGGATCCAGGACAGGTCCTTGCACAAACAAACCAAAAGCCTTGTTGTGTGGGAGACAGGAGGAGGAACAGAGTCACAGGGAGGGGCAGGAGGGTACTAAAACAGGTTAGACACCTCATACACTCACTCCATAGAGACACTCAGCCTTTTGGACTATGGCCTCCAGCACGTCCGGAGATGTGATGCCCACAGGTGGACGGATCTTCACCACCTTCCCAGATGTCCTCTTCCTCCCAGAGTTTGTGAGTCTTTATGTCTGCATCGCTGAATAATGGTCCCAAAACAGGACCACCTTAAAGAGCAACATAGGAGCAAATGAGATTTAAATGTACTATTGACATTAACATTTACCATAAATAATACTATACATTTTAAACTGCTCATCTTTCTTTGAAGGAATAATTTAAAATGTTAGATATGAATCTCCTCTGATAATTGCAGTAAACGCTGAATAGCTTTATTTTCTTGCTGTAACTAAACTTAATTAATTTACACATGGGTCTCTGGTTCATGGTATAATGTAGCTCCATGCTTATAAAGAAACAAATATTGGAGGTATTCAAGAAAATATTTAAAAATACACTCTGCAGAGCCAAAGTACAAATGATTTGCATTTGAAAAGCAATGGTGATAAAAGGCTATATGAGGAAAGACAGATCTGCATGTCTACAAAGAGCACACAAGTGAAATATTCTTGTTCAGTTTATAACATAAAATGTTGCAGATTTAGTCCCAAGGTTTCATAGGGCAACAGTGTATTAACATACTGTAGGTGTGGCACGGTGATCTGATGTGAGATGAGTGATGAGTTACTAGAGGAAAACAAAGCACACCCTTCATTCACATCACTCCCAAATGTCAGGCAGTTATTTTAATCCCATGACTAATTTGCACATTTTGTTTTGAGCCAATTTATTTGCACAGATTTGGTTTGATCCATCAGAAGATTGGCAGCCACACAGTCTGCCCCATCTGTGGTTATAGAAATGGTTTTGCCCCTATCACTGTGACAGGGCACTTGAAAAGCACTAGATAAGACATAATGCTTTATCATTTCTTATAATCTTTCCGAGTCTCCCATTACAAATAGTTACTGTGGTAGTTCAGATGACATCACAACAATCTACGTCAATATTATTTTAATACAGATGGGGGCAGCTAAAAGTAAAATACTAGTTCAAATACTGATTTTTGTTGTAATATAGCATGGCTTTGAGTCTAGTCAGTAATACAAATGATCATGTTCTATATTTGGGAATTTGCCTTTCAGATATTTCATGGCAATGTAATCAGCAGGGAAAACTGGCTCTTGCCATCTGTAACATCATCACATTCTAAAATGTGAAAACCATCAAATTGTAATGTGTAATATTACACATTACAATTCTTGACCCAAAAGTTTTATGTTCACCATACATGCCTAATAACAGAAAGTTTCTGTTAAATTTTTCTATTAACAATTTATTCACTACAAAATAGACAAACAGACAGATACAAGGCAGTGTCCCACTTGTAACCTGTATAAACCAGATGAAGGCCCTTGATTGCGAAACGTATGCACTCTTTATTGTCTTTGGCTATGGATCCTATCTTGACGACAGAGATCACATAGACTCAGATCTCAACCCTCCCCACAGGCTAAATCAAATCCTTAAAAGTGTATTGTGTAACTTTTCTGGTGGAGGGTCCGTCAAATGCTTTTCTTCATGGAGATTTATTGCTTTGGCTGAAATGTTTCACAGTTTTGTATTAAATCTTTCTTTCTTCATGGAGACTAAGTGGCCTGTCAGATCTGTGGAGAGGCAACCCTGCTCGAAATCAGAATGTTTTTTTTCAGAATGCCTGTTTTTCTAGGTGTTTTTGAGCTATAACACCATCTATAATTTAAGAAATGTAAGATAAAGCTGTTTAATGTCACAGTGTGGAACATTTCTGGCAGAGCAATGCCATCTCCATGGAGAAAGGCATTTGACAGACCCTCCACCAGAAATGTGCACAGTGCACCTTTAAAGAAACCACTTCAAACATGTTCGGTTTGACTCTAATATTTAATTCTAATGTTAGGCCTGTGTGTCCCACTTCCCCGCACAGGCCTAACATTAGAATTAAATATTAGAGTCAAACAGAACATGTTTGAGGAAGTGGGCCTTTGTGGTTGGAGGTGAAGCTCTGGGCCTTGGTTCACTTCCTGCACTGGTCAAACATGGAAGTTTTTACACTGTGCAGGTGCACGCACTCATCTTGCATGTGAGCATAAAAGTGAAGAGGAAGGGAGGAGTGGCCAATATACTTTAAAACACCGTCTTTACCCTTATCAAACAGAAAGGCATGACTTGTTCAAAATATAATAAAAAAGGGGAGTCACTTTCAATCACATTGTTGAAACTGCAGAATACGTAATAATGCTTTCTAAGTAAGGTCATATAAGGACACACACTGCATTTCAGACATTAAGTGAAAGGGTGTGACCATCATTTTTTCTGTACTTAATCAAATGCATTGTCTGTCAGCAGTGAACCGTAAGGAATGTGATGGTGCATAACTGTCTGGTATTAGGTAGCTATTAGGTAGCTTAACCTTTACCCTTTTTTGTTTTGAAGATAGGCATCTTTTAACTAAAAAGCCTCAGCTAATTCACTCCAACTAATTGAGGCAGATAGACTAACTCATTTACAACTTAATATTCCATCTGTTTTGTCACTCACACATATAAAACAGCGCAGACCTGCCTGTAAAGTTTAGTTAATACAAAGTACTATTGGCTATCTCATACTAAAGCTTTATGCTGTGTAACATGCACCCACTTAAGCAGACTGTTTAACAAAGGCGTAAACCTTTGTTTGAAGGCCGTGCCTAGTTTCTACGTTTTGATCTATTCATTCAGTTACATTACTTTTAGAACCACATACCAGTCTGCTTTAGAGCTTTAACTCCATATGCAACTAATTATGATTCAGTAAGATATCTAACATTTTAATCCAGTGCTTAGTCAGTATTGCTTATTCATTAATAAGTTTTATGATTTGTATTATTTTATGATAACCCAGTGAATGTGTGTGTTGTGCAGGTGTTTGGGGGTCTGGTGTGGATCCTGGTGGCCTGCACTCATGTGGACCCCCGAAACCCTCTGGGCTGGGTCATGTTTGTGTCCGTTTTCTGCTTTGTCATCACAACTCTCTGGTTCTTCATCTTTTTGTGTGGAGCCAATCAGAGCAGCGTGTGGCCAGGACTGGTGAGACCATACATGAGAAATATGACAGCGTTCTCAATATCAAAACTAGTTAAATCTATAAAAGAACAGTTAACTTTGTAGAAGAGTTCAGAAATGTTCAGATGCCAAAACACAAATGAGATCTACTGTACATTGCTCATGCTGTGATTCATGCAGTTTTGGATCACAGACAGGATATGTACATGGATCATTTTCCAGACTGTACCACTGATAAATAGGACAGTCATATTACTAAATTATAATTAATCAGAATTATTTCCCAGATGTGAAAATGTCTGGTTAGTATATGTTGATGGGCGGCAGTAGCTCAGTTGGTAGAGCATTCGCCCACTGATCTGAAGGTTCGAATCCAGCTCTTGACATAAAAAAACAAAACAAACATCACAGGTTGAGTGGTCAGATCCCCTGACCCACAGGTTGGCTGGTGTGATTCCAGCTCCCACAGATGAATGCTGCTGTTGTGTCCTTGGGCAAGACACTTCACCCACCTTGCCCACAGTGTCTGCGTACACTGGTGTGTGAATGGGTGAGTGGTTCCTTGTTGTAAAGCGCTTTGAGTGCCTTGAAGGTGGAAAAAAATAGAAAAATGTGACCATTTACCATTTACCATGTTCATACACAGACAGTAGAATTTAATTGAGTAATAAGTAATAATACCAGTGTTTTTACCCTTAGGATACAGGCTATCATTTTGTGGCGATAGTGTTCTATCTGAGTGCGTCTGTGATCCTGGCCTTTATCACTTTAGCTGCAGGAGACGCCTACAAACTGGCTAGTGCAGCCGGATTTCCCACTGACTTGTTACTCAAAAACTACAGACTGGACATCTCCGCTGTGGTAACTACTTCTTTCTGGTAATTTTCTCATTTTTATATTTTTAGGATCACTGTTTAGTGTGTGTGTGTTTACGTTTGCAGGTGATGTCTTATGTGGCCACTCTCCTCTATTTCATCCACGCAATTTTCTCTGCCCTGCGATGGAGGAGGTCCTAGAAATACAATGCAATCTTCTTGTTAGAAATGATAGAATTTCTCGTTTAAATATTAATATTATTCAGTAAAAATTTTTTTCTCTGGAATATATTTTTTTCTGTGTTAATCAAATAAAACAAAATATCAAATTTGTATTTCTACACCAAAAATAAATTGATTAATCTATTATTAGGATGTACAACTAGTAAAAGGGCACTGATGGGCTTCTGCTCACATGGAGTTTATATTGTGTGATTTATATGTGCAATGATATGATAGGTAATAGCAACTTCAGCGTTCAAAGTCATATGAGCCTCTTAATGTTAAAGGTGCATTGTGTACCTTTTCTGGTGGAGGGTCTGTCAAAAGCTTTTCTTCATGGAGATGTTCATCTTCAAAAAGACCAAACCAGTCCAAGTTACAGGTCAGATCTGTGGAGAGGCAACCCCGCTCACAGTGAGAATGCCTTTTTTTCTAGATTTTTTCAGCTATAAAACCATTTTCAATTGTATAAATGTAAGCTAGAGCTGTTTAATGTCATGCTGTGGAACATTCCAGGTAGAGCAGTTACATATCCACAAGAACAAACAGGTGTCGGACCTTTAACCAAAAAGTTACACAGTGATTTAAATCTTGAATATTATATAAAACACTTTCACTAATAAAAGGCACTCATTTTATAAAGCACGTCAATAACATTTCAGAACTCATGCGTGTGTTTTAAAGACTTTTGTACAGAGCCTGGAATCAAACTTTCAAACTACAAAGAGTTAATCTGTGAGAGAGTAGCTTCAGTATACTGAGAATTGATCATGTGACTTTCACTGTTTACTGTAAACGTAGAACATAAACACAACTTTGCAGACACTTCTACAATTTCATTTCTATGTAAAACTACGCTTGTGTAAATATGGTTTGACAAATTTTACCACTTTAAGGAAATAAAACCAATTTGTTTTTCAAAGTCACTGAGCTGTCTGTCTCTCTGCTTTGTACTTAACCGTGCACTGTACAACTTTTCTGGTGGAGGCTCGGCTAACTGCTTGTGTCCATGAGGATGTCATTGCCTTTCCTGGAATATTTTATTTGTTTTGATGACATTAAACATACACATCTAGCATTTATTCATTATGTGTGTTTCTGTTGCTCAAAAACACAATAAATCCTTCTGTGAATAGGGATGACTCTCCACAGATCTGAAATGTAATGTAGAGTAGTGCTCTATACTGGGGAATATTCTAGACAAAGCAAAAATATTTCCATAGAGACAAGCAGGTGGCGGACCCTCTACTAGAAATGTTACATAGTGCACCTTTAAAATATCATAACAGTCCACACCTGCACCAATGTAAGGGGAATTGAGATTGAAGATTTGGATGTGAAACTGAACAGTGATACAGCTGCGAAAAGTGAGTCAGAGCTTTAGTGACGAACAAGAAGGAGAACAGGCTGATCTGTGGCTCTTTATCTGATGAGCGCTCTGCTGGTATTACACACAGCCTCAGGATATCACCCGTAACACTAACCGTATTTTCAAGCACAGTATTTGCACTTACTTTTATTTGCACTAGAGTAATATTTTTGTAACTTTAGAAATTAAGCACATTTGATCTATGTAAGCGCCTAAGCTTTTTTTTTTTCCATTAAAGCTGCAATGTACAACTTTTCAGAGGATCCGCCACCTAATTGTCTCCATGAAGATGTTACTTAAAAAAATATATATTGTTAGAAAAATAATAAAACTAAATATCCCTTTTCCAAAGCTTAATTCCCACACCACATATATATATATATATATATATATATTTTAAGTTTTCAGTTTTACACCAAAAATGTGTTACTATTTGTCTTAGAAGTTTGCTGTTACATTTGATATTAATTCCATCCTAATTAGATGACTGAATTGGACTCCAGCTGGTTATTTGGTTTGGTTATTTTATTTAAATTAATATTATTTTTGAAATTTTTATTCTTATATATTTGCATAAGCTATAATTGCACATTAGAGGTAGTACGAAAGGGCTTGTTTGTGGCAATTTGAGAGATAAATAGGAATTTTGTCTACATTAAAATCACACTTGAGGAAAAATTCTGTACCCCAAACCTTCTGAAAAATCAATTTTGGAATCAAATACCATATTTTGTTTTTAATGAAATGTTTTATCCAATTTACTTTAAAAACTATAGTTGATGATTGCAAATGAATAACATTTAAGCCTCTTTTTTCAATTTTAACAGAATGTCTCTTTTTAAATAATGTGGCTTTCCTTTCCATATAAAACTAAATAGGGAAGAATCAAATACTTTTATAACTTCTTGTGGAACATCCAATACTTTAGCAGGATCAGCTAGATGTGATTGACCTTCAGTTTTTCATAAAAGAACACGTCCTTTGAGGGATAAGTCTCTCATGAGCAAAATATTATATCTATTTCTTTTTGGTATAAGGGGCTGAAAATTAAATTGCGTTCTATTCATCTGAATTTTGCAAAAACTAATTCCCACATAGGTAACTTCAGTTTTTACTTGAAGACTTTCTAATTTTATTGATGTACAATGTTTCAATTGAAGAAGGGAACATTTTCTTATATTTAAAGACAGACAGGAGACTTCAGAGAATGCCTTCAGACAGTTAATGATCTTTTAAGCAGAGTTTCATCTTTTAAGCAGATAGCTGTGTCATCATCTTACTGACAACATTTGATTTCTTAGTCTGAGATTTCGGTACTTTAATGAGTTCTTTTGTAAATGTACTGCCATGGTTTGCAAATAGAGCTACTGGATCGCCCTGTTTAATCGCTCTTGAGATGTAAAATTGAGGAGTGTAAGCACCTGTGCTAAAACTATTCAATATAAGACAGTGACATCATGCTGGGAGTGTTCTACACAATCCACTATTAGAGATACATATATCTGTTACCATAGAGACACAATGGACACATTAGCAAACACAGACAGAAGTTTTAAGATTGTCTGAAAACTCAGGAAAAAACAGCACATTTTCAAGAGCTTGTGATCAACACAAGCATTCCTGGTCCTGTTTAAGTGTTTGATTTTCAACAAAAAGGTGAGAGTGACTAACTAAAAACTAATGCTAGCTTGTAATATAATTTTATGTGTGGGAGACTTGTTTAAACAGCACAAATCATCTCACCTCATACTCTTTCTGATCAGATTGTGTTCAAATAAAGATCAGATTAAAGTCTAACTTGAGTAACAGAGCTAGTAGTTCCTAGAGTAGTGCTTCCAGGTGTTGATGTTGATGACAATTGCATAATATCAATAGTAGACAGTAGCAAATAGTTTTAACAGAGTACTAGTAGTGCACATTACTCATACACGAAATACAATGTCTGGTATTTATATATGTGACACTCAAAATGCCAAATCCAGTTTGAGGTGTAATAGTCAAATCACAGGTCATTATGACACACCTAAATCATGTCTGGTTTGATTTGAATGACTACTGAAAAACACCGCTCCCATTTCGTAAATATGGGTAAAATGGTTAGAGGAAGTAGAAACGTGGATGCATTTCGTCAGAGTAAGTAAAAACCACCACCACTAATTGCCTCAATTTTCATCAACAAACTGCTTTGTAAATTCTGACAGGATTGATGTTCATTGTTGCTACACCAAGATGAAGGCCCAAGTCCCATTATATGCTTTTTGTATTGGATGCTGATATATTTCTGCTTCAATTACTATGAAAAACAGTGTGTAGTAGGCAGTAAGCCAGGGAAGCTTGTGAATATTGCAGAGCCCAAAACTCAGTGAGCTGTATCCCAACAATAGTGACACCTTATCTGCTCAGGCTGCACTGTAGCCTCTGGCCACATATTTCTCTCATAGTTTCTCCACAGTTTAGCCTTGGCACAGGTGCACACACAAACACGCAGACACATACACAGACATCTGAAGGGTGTGCCTGGTTTGGACCAAGTTCCTGCTGTGGGAACAAAGGCAGAACGGGTTTGTCTGCTAACTTATCCCTCCTATAAGGGTCAGCCTCACCTGCGGCAGCTCCATGAGTCCAGAGTGAAGCAGGAGGGCAGAGGGAGCAGTACTGCAGATGGCTGCCACCACAGCTCAGCCCATGGCTAGCCTACCCAGCGGATTGGGCATTTGCACCACTGCACCAGACATCTTCTACCTACCTGAACTGGTGAGTGCCCTGAACACAGAGAGGAGACAGTATTCATATTATTAATGATTTTGTGATTTGGGACCTTTATTTCATTGACAAATCTGAGTTTGAGGGTAAATTGCTAATATTCTTTTTTGTTTTTTTAATTCTAAAATATATTTTTTAAAAATTCTAGAATTCTAGATTTTTTTTCTTCGCATAATAAGCGTTCATTATTTTTAAATTTTTTCTCACCTTAAGTGAGAAATTTGACAATTAAAATGAGTATTGTATATAGTATATTAGTCTATTAGTATGTTATTTTCAATAGTACCAGACTCTTCAAATTAAGTACCACAGAAGATGTGTGTGACAAGTACCACCAAATATAGACCAAATACCAGGTCTGAACTAGTGCTAGTGCAGGACTAAAATGGGATGAAACCTAGAATTAAGTAGCTCTTAATATGGACCGATTAACTGAAAGACTAAACCATTTCTAAATTATATAGAGCTACACCTGCAGAAGATGTATATTGTAGTGCATGCAGGATGCTCATTCTAAAACAAAACACGCCCCATAGGTAAGGTGGTCCTGAGCAAGCCTAGCCCAAGATCTGGAGATGAGTTCCTCACAGCAGCACTGAGGCACCCATAGATCCCATAGACAGGTTTCCTCAGTGGCACTGAAGGATGGGTCAAATGCAGAGGACAAATTTCCCTACAGGAAACTACATAAAGTGTAGTTAACCATCCCCATGACTATCACAACTCTACAATAAAATTATTTAAGTCCAAGAGAATAACAAGTCAACTTGAACAATAAATTTACTTTTTTGGTGCAAATGATGAAATCTTGTTGCCTTGGTCTCAGGTGGGAGCTAACTGGGTCTTCATCTCATATTTCACTCATATTGTATCTGTGCTTCTAATCTAACAAGAAATGCGGCCAGAGCTTTTTTCTATAGAACTCACAGAACATACAAAGTGCTCAAATAACATGCTGAAAAATAATGCACAAATAACATGCTGAAAAAACAAAACTTTTAGCTTCATATAACTCATCATTTGAGAGCTATAACTGCACCGCACCTGTAATTCTGCAGAAAAGTTATGTGTATCCACAGAAACCATTTCATAGACAGCAAGTGTCATGCCTTGATTAAACTTGAGTCAGAACATTTAAATATGTAATTTTATTTGATTCATGGAATGATAAAGCATGTTTGTACTTATGCTATAAAACTAAATCACAGACTGTGATTCATGTTCATTATGTGTACAGGAAATAAAATAAAGTAAAATATTAAATCCCGAACAAGCTGTAAATTGACCAATAAACAGTATTCAATAAAGCATTGTAAAAAAATGAATGACTAAAAATGTGATCACATTTTACATGGCTGAATGCAAGGTTGAGTCCGTTTTATTGTGTAAACAGAAGGTCCAGTAAAGTTTGACAGGGAGTAGTTCAGGGAGTAGTTCAGGGTGTATATTCAATGACTTATTCAGTCTGCAATAGATCATTCTGGGTAGATTATAACACTATTGTGGTACTGAAGTTAAGCATCACTTTTATTTATTACTCAGATATGCCCCATTATCACTGTTAATGATTGGTTGTATTAGTAAAATAAACAGACCTTACATAACCACCCAAACCCATGATAAAGCTGATAATGTGCAGAGTCATAAGCAACAAGATTTTTAGTATGGACTTTAAAATCTAAAAAGACTCACAGATGTTTTGACTGTTTTGTCTGTGCTGTGCAGGTCTTTGGGGGTCTGACATGGATCCTGGTGGCCTCCGTTCGTGTGGTCCCAGCGAACCCTCTGGGCTGGGTCATGTTTGTGTCCATCTTCTGTTTTGTAATGACGTTCCTCTGGCTCGTCATCTTCGCATGTGGGGGACACAAGAACAGCTATGGTTGGGCGACAGCTGTAAGATATTGCATGTTTATTAGACTTACTGAATCATAATCATCATTTAATAATATCATTATCAAGTAGTACAACACACAAGAAGGTAAAATAAAAAAACAAAACAAAACAACACATTCTGGTTGTTTTTGCAGGACTTTATCTATCACTTGCTGGCAGTGATCTTCTACCTCAGTGCAGGAGTGGCTCTGGCCTACATGACAATTCTAAGTAAAGACAACCCAGTATTTAGAATCTACCAGATCGAAATTTCAGCTGTGGTAAGTCTAACATTTTAACAAGAAAAAAAAAACTCACAAAAACATTCATGAGTGTATTCTGAGTTTTGAACATGTCACAAATCTCCTCTCTATGTCTCAGGTCTTTGCCTTTGCATCCACTCTTGTGTACTTCATCCATGCCATTCTGTCTGCAATCCGGTGGAAGAACTTCTAATTTCCCAAACACCTAAACTAGAATGTATGCAGCACTTGTATTATGTGTGAATGTCACCAGTTAGTAATAACAATAATAATTGTTACAGTTTATCATTTTTCCACTTTGCACCAAGACCACATTCTACCACATTTGACTACGTCTGATCTCTGTAATCAGTTTATTTGGAATCTGATATAAAGATAAATATATTATATAAGTGAAAATGTATGCATTAGCCTGTAGAAGAGTAAATGATTTAAATGTACCCCATTACATACCATTTTGTATAGCCAGTCTCCTATAATGACTGTGTTAATAGATAAAAGGGCCCCATGGCAGAATTTTGTATTCTATTAATAAAATACTGTTTATTTTAACCCAGTTTTGTCTTTTTGTGTGTTTATGATCTAGATCTCATGCAACCCTGAGCAAATGTTTACTTTCACCTATATGTAACCTTAGCAAACAGGATAAGGGCACAGGGATTAATTGGGAAGGAGTGGCCCAAAAGCAAATGTGCAAAAGTGCAGCAAAAACAAGTAAAAATCAGATACACATTTATACTGACATAGTACAAGAATAGAATTAAAATCTAAAATATTGACTGACAGTAAACTTGCCTAAACTAATCCCACATCTGAAAGCAGTATGCACCTACATGGATTAAAAGTAAATCACCCTCCCAAACAGTGTCTTTAACCAAAAGTACATTTATTTTATGATTTGTAATAATGTTTGAACATATTTTGTACAGCAGCGGCTCTAGTTGGCAAAGTAGCTCAATACACTGTTACCATAATTATCAACTGTACATTAATGATTTTTTAAGGCAGTCCAAGCACAGATTTAAGCTGTTCCAGTTTCCTCATGTTCCATCTTGATCACAAGCATGTGAGAGTCCCTATAGTCCCACTACCAGATGGTGCGTTTGACCGTGGCCCAGTTGGACCTCTTCATGCCCTGTGCTGCCCTCACATCATCCCAGTGCAGTTTGGTGTTGGGGATCTCGTCCTCAGGTTGGGGCTCCTGTCTCACCCCTGTCCTGGGACTGGCCACCACTAGGGGCAGTGCTCCACGCTCTGACTTGAACTCCACCACATGCAGCTGTTTCTTATCTGCTAGAGTCTGGTGAGTTTCCTATAAAAGAGGCAGAAAAAATAACTAAAAGCAATTTAGAATAATTAACAAATACTAAAGGCACACTACGGAACATTTATAGCCGCTTGTTTTCATGAAGATGTTATTGCTTAACCAAGAATGTTCTATAGTACGTCATTAGGCGTCAGTACAACATATTTCTTTAGCAATAAAAACACCCACAATGAAAATAAATACAAGAAATGTTTTTAATGCCTTACTGTGGAACATTCCAGGCATAGCAATAACATCTTCATTGCAACAAACTAGATCCATTGTGGATGCAGTCCAGGGTGATATAACAGCATGGTTTTACTGCAGATACAAAATGTGCTTTACCTGATCGGCTAAACCCTTGAAAAGTGCCCGAGTGATGTTGAGAAGATTGACAGATCCTTCGACTTTGCAGTACATGTCCTCAATGCCAATGAGTTTACAGAGTGTGATGACAGCCCGGTGGCAGTGCAAACCGTAGCCTACACAAAAGAAAATATATTCTATACTTTCATCCATACAGACAAAACTTTATGAATAAAGCAAAAAAGCGATTTTACATGAATGAAAGAAAAAAAAACTTGTGGTGAACTGCCTCCATAAAAATACATTTCCTAGTTTCAAGGATTTAAGGATCAAACAGCTGTTTAAGTCAGAAACAACTTAAGCTGATAAAATGTAATTTTCTAAAACACTGAGTCATGGTACTGAGCTGGTAATAGCTTAAGTGTTCAAACTTTTACTTTTTACTTTTACTGAGCTAACATATTTTTCCAGAACGTGATTTATTCTATTCCCTTCTAAATGTATACTGAGGGAGCTGAAATACTGCTTTTATTGTCTCAAAATGACATGCTTTTGGACCGCTCCAAACCTGCACCTCAAGTCTGATGGAGGGGGGCATACCTTTGTTTTGCTTCTTCATGCGCAGCTTCGTCCTTTTGAACTTGGAATCAATATCGTGATAAACTGTCAGACAGATAAAAGCAAGCAGTTAATGCCTGTCGAGTAACAGCAGAGAGAGAGAGAGACAGAGAGAGCGAGACAGAGTGAGAGAGAAACAAAGAGAAACAGAGACAGTGAAAGAGAGAGAAACAAAGAGACAAGAGAGAAAGGTGAATAATGAAGTATTGAGTGTGTCATCGTATGTGAGGGGAGGATGCTGAAGGTGGCTTATAATGCTGTCCACACTAATCAGACAGTTTGATAATCTTCATTTGGTGCAACAGACTGTCTTTACTTTGCTTAGACATATACTAGAAAATGAAAGAACATACAGAAAACTGATGTTGTAATGTGTGAAAATAAAGAAATAATATGTACTAATACCTAAGAAATAGCCCAAAGGGGAGAAAAAGTTAAAATTCAAAACTTCCTTTATAAATGTCATCTTGAAAGATTTTTTTTAAGGTGAAGTGCACATTTGTTGTCGCTGTAGGAGGTACAGGTTTGCTTGGGACAGACTGTGAGTCACTGCTTAAAAAAAATAAAATAAAAAACTCATGACATTTGCATGGTCTAACTTAATATTTGTATTTTTTGCAAGAATAGAGCCTATGAACAAAGTCATTTTTATTAAAATTGTAAAAGTCTTTTCAATAAATTTTATGATATACCAGGATATACATATAATATTTCTGTGTCACCTATTTTCTATCCCAGACAAGCAGCAGATGGCTCCACAGCAGACGTTGGCATGAGCTCAGTTTATTCTGGTCTTTCTTCACTGAGATACTGAAATACTGAAATATTCACTATGGCCGTGTTATCAGACCCAGTGAAAGTCAGAAGCTGGGTCTGGTGTGAAGTCAAAACCTCCTCCGGGGGGCGCCGTGGTGGTAGATGACTCACTCACATTAATCTTTATGTCTGCTCTGCTGCAATATTCAGCCAAGTCAACTTTTACTGTATCAAAGTGGGGGCCATGCATCTAAACCTTATTGGCTTTGTTGGCATGTTCTTGAAATAGGATTTGTGAACCAAGACAGGTGCTGACAGGTGAAGACAGGTTATGACAGGTGAGGTGATGTGCAGAGAGAAGCAGTGAGGTCAGCAAACATAAAACTAAGGATGCAGGGATCAGATATTGGCTTTCAAATACTGGTTTGTCTCTATCTTGGTTAAACACATAAATCAATGTTATAGTACTATTTACTGCTCATAGTCAGATCAGAGAGTGTCAAAATGTTTGAAAATGTATTTATACAAAACTCGTCTGTAGATACTTAAGGAAAAAAATAACAGCTACATGACCCATTTGGATCAGTTATGTCTTATTTTATGATTGTTTTAAGGAAATAAACGCTGTTTTCAGTCTCTTCACTGGTATTGAATGATACAAGGTATCGACAGAAACTTAAAGGTGCATTGTGTAACTTTTAGCACATTATTTAACACATTACAGAGCAAACTTACTTGTGTGGTTATTGAATCGTTCAATAAAGTACAAGAAGTGGATGGCTCGATTTTTAGCCTGATTAAGACAAAAACAAAACAACATTGTTAATTTAAACAAACTTTAAATTTGCAGACTGTGTTGTAGTTTTTATGCCATACTTTTCTGAGAGCTGTGTTTCTATCTGCTGCTTTACCCACAGCAAAACCTGAAAAACAGACAAATAGAAAAACACTTTTAAGATTCAGCCATATGATCATGCAACATTATTAAAGGTCCTACATTACACAAAATTGACTCTTGTGAGCTTTAAGCCATGTTATAATGTTACTTCATCAAAAACATACCTGGAGTTGTGTTTTGTTTCATTTACACATGTCTGCGTAATCCTGGTTTATTAATCAGTTCACATTTCCAAAGCTCAAGATTCTCTGTTCCATCTTGTGATATCATGGAGTTGTAATTTTCAAGTTAACACCTACCTTTTAACTTTAGTTCAGTAGAGATTAGCAATTCCAGGGCCGAAATCTTCCAAATGATATTAGTGAAGGTATGTGAAGCTTAAACACAGTTGAGCTCTTCCTGTATTACTAGATGACATCATAAGGTGGAACAGAGTGCTTTTAGTTTGAGAATAAAATTCAACCTAAATATGCAGAGTTTGTACGTTAAACGTGTAAAGGACACAAGACACAACTCCAGGTCTGTTTGTGATGAGGAAACAACATTATAACATAAATCAGAAAATAGAGTAATATGGGCTCTTTAGCACAAGTGGTACCACAATGTTAATTCATAACATTTTAGTAATGTTATGTTAATAGGGTTGTAATATCCAATTCTCTCAAAACTATATTTTCACGATATGCATCTCACGATACGATTTTTATCACGATATTTTATGTAAGCTAACAAAACTGTGAATATGCTACTTTTTCTCTCATCGTATTCCAAATAACGAAGATTTATAAGTGCTTAATAACTGTTATTTCAGTATGTAAATTGGACTGAAACAGCGCAAAGCATCATGGTCTATGTAGTTGTTAATCTTAATAAAGCAGTATTAGAGTTATAAACAGACCTTATACTGATGATTGTGCTGTATAATAATATAAACACATAAAGTGCACTACCTGCAGCTCCATTGCCATTTCCAACAGCAACCAAACAGCTAATAGACCTCTTCCTGCCCTCTTTGGCTGTCATGTTGAAGACACTTTTCACCTACAGAAACAGCACAGGTTAATCACATCACAGTGACCTTCAAGAAATGCTCTTCATGTGGGAAAATCAATATGCGATGCCATGTTTGTTGATTTTTTTTCAACAGCAGACTCTATGACAATCGCAAGACAACAATCCACTCAATGTCGGGGTGCGTGTGCCAATTCACAAGAGAGTCTATCTGGATTTGAGCAGCTTATTGATTCATTGTTAAGCACACATCCTTTTCTGTCACATACACACATCAGTAAAAATGTTAGATGTGCCACCAGGGGGCAGTATGGAGACACGAAACAGTATACAAGAACAGCTAAGATAAGGGATGATAAAAGTTTATTTACAAATGTGGGAAGAAGAGAGTCAGGATTCAGGAATGACACAGAAAGAAACAGAAAAATACTAAAATGTAAATACAATAAAATTGACAGGTCATAAATAAAGGACTGTACAGACGTTGCACTGCACTGATGGATGGAAAGAGATTTATGCTTGTATCTGAGGAGAGAGGAGTCCTGTCAGAGGTCAATTCAATCATGTCTGATCCACACCAATACGTGATGCAATCAAAGTGTCTGTGTGTGTGTCCGCATGTGAGAGTCTGTTTTGTGTTGTGTGTGTCTACGTGAGTATATTGTGAACGTGTGTTATGTGTGTGCGCACTTATGTTGTGCGTGTTGTGTGTGTGTTCTGTGTGTATGTGCATGTTGTGTGTGAATATGTGAGGCTGCTGGAAGTGTGTGATAAAATAAAAAGTGATGACAGTGAATGCCAGAGTGGAGATATATATGAGCACTTCTGTGGCTAACCAAAACTGCTGACTCTTACAACATACTTTGGAAAGAAACTAGTTGTGCATATGAAATTTAAAATAGATAAGACTCTCTAAACACACACTGAACCTTCAACAATTTTTTACAGAATACACAGATGTCAAGATTATTTGGTTTAAATCGATCATAACTATTCAAACCAAGTCACAAGCTAAATGTAATGAGTTTTGATTGTTTTTCTCACATTTACTTTACAGGCATATTATCACCCTTTTCATTATTCAGAAAGTTTAACGTTATAAAGCTGGTCACCTACTCAAAGAATGATAATGTTTTGACATTAATGAAACAAAATTAAGGATTCTAGTGCTGCATATGGTGTCAATTATCTTGAGTAAATGTTAAATTGTGAAGTTTAATCATTTGATAGTGCATCCCTAATATGTTTATTAATTATTCAATTGCTGTAATTTGAAGTAAGAACATGCATTGCAGAGTGCATTTGTGGCAAGCAGCTTTGTTGTTCTAAATTGTTTTCTATTTGTGTGCTAATTACATCCAAGCACTCCACATAAATAATGGTACACAAACCTCTGTTACGGACTGCTCTGCAATTACTCTCTTGATTACTTTAAAAAAGTTGATGACTCCATAGAGTACTGTTCCTATTCATTAGCTCATATTTGTGGGCATATGTTTGATAAAGCAGTAAAATGTGCTAAAATGTTGTAATAAATTCCAAAGGAAAAAAAAAAATCGTAATGCATGCTAAAAGTGTTGGTTATCAGACATTTTTGTTTCAAGGGCTCATATTTTCTGATCTATATTATAATGTTGTTTCTACATCACAAACATACATGTGTTTTGTCTCATTAACACATGTTTAACACACAAACCCGTTCTTCTTTGAAACAGAAAACACTTGGTTCCACCTTGTGATGTCATGAGGTAATACAGAAAGTCCTCCACTTTGTTTTTTAACTCCATACACCTGGATTTGCCAATCTCTACTAAACTAAAGGTAAAAGTTAGTTAACTTGAAAACTACCGCTTCATGACATCACAAGGTGAAACAGAGCATTTTGAGCTTTGGACATGTAGATAGACTAATAAAGGGTTACTCAAACATGTGAATGAAACGAAACAACTTTAGGCATGTTTTTGAGGAGGTAACAACATTATAACATCGCTTAAAGCTCACAATAGTCATTTTTTTCTAATACAGGCCCTTTAATTAATTTAAGCATACAGCAATGTAAACAGGCTGAAAAAGATGAATGAAACACCAATTTGAAGCAGAGAAAACTTCAAAGTGCAGATCTGCCATTAGCATCCCTAGTTATTATGTAACACACGCACACACATCCACCAATGCACAGGGACTATATTCCAGTTAAGGGTTTATCATTTGACTGCAGGGCTGAAGCGGTTGGATTGGGGTCAGCGCTGCAGCAAACACCAAAACATGGAAAATACAAGGCTTCGGGAGACAATTTCTGCTGATATAAAACCAACATGGATTAGATCAGTGCAATCACAAACCCATTAATACAAATAGGAGTCTGTAGGATGGCTTCAAGATAACAGTTTGCATTCCCTTTTGACATTTTTGGGGGAAAGTAGCTGTTTTGTATTTTGCTTTTGCCCTGGGAGCAGATGGGCCGAATTGATCTGTAGCGGATGAGAGACAGCAGGCTAGTAGGAGGGCCTGCCAAGGCTTTTCGCACCTCCAGTTCATGTCTTATTCTCAGTCTGTTTCTGTACATCTTGGGTTGTGTGTGTGCATGCGTGTATGTGTGTATGTGTACCCAGGAGGTAGCTGAGGGGATGAGCTTTGAGACAAGAGAGCAGAAGGAACTGTCAGAGCTCACCATCCTACGCCAATGCAAAATGTCTGACTCATTGTACATCGTATTTAAGTCACTAGTCTTTTAAAAAAGTCATATTATGTGCATTATTTAGGCATTTTAAAATACCTTGGACACCTTCGCTTTGTGTTTCCAGTATTAATAATGTCTTGGATTTATATAGCACCTACAAGAGACTCTGTGTACTGCATTATTCATTCACTCCTTGCTCGGTGGTAGTAAGCTTCAGTAGCCACAACTGCCCTTGAGTGGACTGACAGAAACAAGGCTGCCAATCATTGACTCCTCCAACATCCAATAATAATCACTCAGGCTTACACAGTCTTCATAATAGGCTTTGTGGGTTAATTATTTTGTCTAGGCAATATGCAAATTATATGGATTTTAAAAAGAGAAGGGGTCTGCACTATGAGGGGGTCTGCAACCTGTTTGTCTCCATGGAGATGTTAATGCTTTGGTTTAAACTACAGGTGTCATTTATTGCTCAAAAACATCAATTGTTACAGTGAGTGTGGTCGCTTCTCTGCAAATCTAAACCGTAATTTGTCTTGCAAGTCTCTATTTATGGCCACATTCTACAGTAGAAAGACAAGTGATGGACCCTCCAGCAGACAAGTTACACAATGCACCTTTAAATTCCAGGTCAAACCAGCAACTTCACAATTCATTTCTAGCTACGATTTTGCTCCTTATTCAAACAAGAGACAATTACCTTTCAAAAGCATATGTTTAGCCACAAATTGCATCAAATATGTAGATAATGTAGTAATAATCTAGCATAATATGGAATTATCAATGTGTATCTCACTAACAGCTAGCCACTGCGAACACTATCTTAGCCGAGCCTAGCTCAATCTTATACACTTTCTGTCACATTTGAAACCTTGTTTGCCTAGGCCAACTGCAATGCTTTTATTATATTATATTTTATAATATTTCAAATCAGCTAATGCACCTTGGGCCCAGAGGTGACATCACACTCAACAGTGCTACTGAATGAAACCTCAGCCAAATAATTTCCCTTGTGGATCAATAAAGTGTGTCAAAGTCTAATACTGAAATGTCCTAAAATGCTCTAGAATGCAACAAAACACAACTATTTGCACGTATATGCCTAACTTCTCAAGTTTGAATGCTGAAACTATCTTTAACTGCATCCTTGGTTACCTCTGACAAAACTTTCAAGGTTACAGAGTTCTTTGGAAAGTAAAAGACCGAGCGACGCAGCCGTGACACTGAGGAGGTTTCATCTCCATTAATGAAAAGCCGAGTCGTGTCCAAGTGCTGTGGTTCCTGGAGGAAGGCCATGGACATCACTTAACTGTTTCTCTCCTTTATGCGTCAGTCTGAAAGCACCAAGGCGCGCTTATGTAGCTCCTCTCATTTAGATGATTACAGTCCACAAAGCTTCAATAGATGACAACAGTGTGAGTGCACAAGAGTCCATTAGTTGGCCTGCTAACAAACTGGGAGAAGTAAAGTGGCCAATGATAATGTAACTGTGTTTTAATATGTGTTACTTATTTTTACAATACAGACTCTCAAACATATGCCAAAAGACCTTTCATAACAAAGACAGCAGTATTATTGTATCAAACTGCCAAAATAATAAACATTTTCAAATCAATGATACAGTATATACTGTTTCTCTAGAAGTTTTCAGTCATCATATTTTGACATTTATTTAATTAACATATGCAAGTTGCAGCTCAGCCCTATTGATACTTTGCAGGGACATCATCATCATCATGCTGGGTGTGTTCTATATGTATCTCTATTGGTGGAATGTTCAACAGTTTCCATGGTGGCACAATGCACATATTCACAAAAACTGACAAAAATGTTACTTTGAATATAGTCTGAAAACAAGAAAAAATACAAAATGGATTTAAACACATTTTCAGAAAACTGTGATCAATATGAGCATTTGCGGTTCTGTTTAGGAGTTTGATTTAACAAAAAAGGTGAGAGTCTGACTGAAAAACTGCTAGCTATGTAACTGTAATTTTAAGTGTGAGAGACTTGTTTAACAGTAAGAATCATCTCACCTGTTATAGCTCCAACCAAGCCAGCTCTTTCTGGTTAAATTGTGTTAAAATAAAGCTCAGATTAAGTCTAACTTTATTAACAGAGCTTCTAAAAGAATAGTGCTTTCAGTTAGCTTTACACCCCCAGGGAATGTTTCAATAGAAAATAAATGCTCGTAGATATAGCATAGGAATTTGTAGTGAAGTTGAAATATGTTGCAAACTGCTAAAGGAGGAAGTAGGTGTTTAAATCTCTCAAATTTATTCCTCATTCTCGCTAACATTTTTGCTTAATTTTCCCATACGCACATTTTGACACATTGTACAGCCAAATTACCTTCAATCATAATTTATCTCCACTTCTACATGTGAGTAATGGTTCATGTTGTTATGCCTCATATTTAATAGTCTTTTTCTAAATATCATTAACTATGATTAATATAGTGTCATAGTACAATGAACGATCTCCCAGTCCTAATGATGCCACATGAAGTCTTGTATTAGTTTTGGTCTGGTGCTTCATTGGCTGAACTACTTCTCCACTGTTACAGACTAAAGTTTCCCCAAACTTTCTCTACCCCCTCCCCCGCCTCTCTCTCGCCCTTTCCGCTTGTTGGATGTGTTCACTAATGGCATGCCAACATCATTGTCCTTGAGAGACAAGCTTTTTATTCCAGTAAGCTCTTTTCATTTCATTAGGCCCGAATTTATAGTGGTACACACAAACTCCAGCGCACACAGTGGATATTTATAGAGTGGGACTGCACCATAAAAGCAGCCATCAGTTTTCCAGGGGGAGTCTAATGTCTGGCGGACAGCTCTGGATTCGCCGCAGTTTAAGGGATGGGGAAGACTATCAATGTGACACACAAAGCCGAACATACAGTAAATATATGCAAGTCCTATGTCATGTCAGTGTACAGTGTGAGGCATGTTATGTATAGGCAGACCCCTGTAGCATTCTCACCATTAGTTTAAAGGCTCCATTAGCTGTAATTTAATCAAGGTAAAATACTGTGCGACATGCTAGGAATCTAAATGAGCCACAGCTATCCCATCTTACATGCACAGCAGTTTTGTACTGGCTTCATCAATGGTTCATCATTAAATTAGAGATAATAAATTGCATTGCAAGTGAAATGGGATGACCTAAGAAAACCTTTTGAAGTATTAATGACATGACTTATGAATGCAAATGCTTTTACACGCCATTTCTTGATTTTATTAATAAACTGTGATTATTGGAATAAATCTGCTTAAGTGCAGGGGGAATCCACTGATAAGGCATAACATTATGTCAGTTGACAAGTAAAGAACTCAGGATTATATTTTCCTAATGGCACCAGTGAGTTTGAATAATACACACATCAGCATAATATTAATGAGTATTGTGTTGGAGCATTTCCATAAGTGAAGTTCATGCGAGGTGCATGACCAATATTTATCTAGTGTATATATATATATATATATATATATATATATATATATATATATATATATATATATATATATATATATATATATATACATATACATACATACATACATATATATACATATATATATACATATATATACATACTATATATATACTATATATATATATTTTTTTTTTTAACCTGAGATAGTTTGGTGCTTCTGTTATTGAGTTTGTAAAAATCAGTGCTGTTTTGGGGGCCTTTATGTAGGTTTTTTCCTCATTTTTTTTTATGTCAGAGCAGCCATGTCTGTTTTTGATGCAGCTCTCTATTTCATTAATCTCCCAGCCAATCATGCCTGTTACTCACACTTTCTAAAATATGGGAGACGGGATACTGCTCCAGATCCACTCATCTTTGTAAAGTTGTGTCAAAGTGTGTGGTTCTGGTTGTGGCCAGGTAAGGGATGATACAGGTATTCATAACATGAGCTAGTAATGCTCCAAAATGCAAAGTTCTAATATATAGTATCATAAAGTATATAGTATCAAAACATACTGAACACTTTGGATTTTATGCCAGAACTGCCTCTTATGCAAGTCAGAATATTATGCACAATCAGTGTACATCTTCAAGAACATTACTTGAATCCAATCAAGGCTGACATTTGAACAGTTATTTTAAAGTAAAGGTCTAGATTTTACAGGGGCAGACTTCATAACGTGTTTCTACTTGATTGAACAAACTTAGGCAATATAAACTTTCTTATGAAATAATAAAAGGCTCACCTCAATGACACGTGAATCAAAGTCTTCATAGGTTTCTGGAAAAAAAAAAAAAAAAACATACAATAAAGACATCAGTTTAGTTGATCAAATTAAAGGGCTCTTATTACAATGTGTTCTGAACTATGTTTTGTTTTTCTTCAACAAAAACATATCTGGAGATGCGTTTGGTTTCATTCACATATGTTTAATACACCAACCTTGGATATTTAGGCTTTGAGATCTTCTCTCAAACAGGAATACTATGTTCCACATTGTGAGGTCATGTAGTAATACAGAAAATGCTCCAATGTGTTTTTAAACACCTTCACTAGAATCATTTGGATAATTTCAGCCCTGGAATTGCCTAATAATAAAGGATTATTCAAACGTGTAGATGAAACAAAACACAACTTCAGGCATGTTTTTCATGAGGAAACAACATTCTTCTCAACATTCACAACAGTCCATTTTGTGTAATATAGGGCCTTTAAAGTTAGGAACTAAACAAACCAATTAAAACATATTCTGGCTAAATATACCCCAATGGCCATGCTGCAAAACAGTAAGTGAACTCTTTTCATAGTTGGTGACCTCTCAGAGATGTTGCCCTACCAACAGAATTCTGTTTACATCTAACCAATCAACTACAACAAGCTCAGTCTTCAATACTCTGAGGAGAATAGAACCCACCAGGCAGCTGTAAAAGGGGCAAATCTGATCAGAGACAAGCAACATAGCAAAAGCAGAGTTCACACATTCTGCTCCCCTGGCTCTGTGTGCGTGTGTGCGTGTTGAACTTGTATATGACAGTCGGATATAGGAACTGTACAAGGAGGGAATAAGAAGGAAGGAGAACACTTTAACAGGTCCACAGCGCCCATACAGTCTGTCTGCAGAGAAATGCTGAATAAATCTATAAAACTCAATACTGAATAAGTGGGGCAAGCAGCTGCATCTAAGTTTTTGTTGAAAATCAGATTTGATCATTTTACAGAAATGGTACTGAACAAAGTAAAAGAAGATTGGACTTTAAGAGATTGATAGGTAGCAAACCAGACCATAAAACAGCAAGCTTCTGGACTATCTTTCTTAAAATTAAAGCTACAGACAAAATCATGAAAGAAGCTATGCAATAAGGTAAAAATGCAATAAAATGTACTGTCTGATTTTTAAATACAGTTTTTGTAGCCAAGCAGAAATTATACCAATTGTCCATCGGGATTAATTAATATTTAAATAAAAACAACAAATGACCAAATGCCATACATCAATTGAATGAAAACTGGCACAAGAACAGTAGATGATAAAAACGCATACGGTGAATTGTAGAGTAATGGTGTGAGATGAAGGTGAGATCAAATTGGCTGGACAGTTTTATTATAGTTCAGCTTTTGGCCCAGTGTAATTTTCACTTGTCACTTTCAGGTCAGAGTTTTAATAAAGGCAAAGACATTTAATTTTTTAGATGTTCCAGGGCACCAGTCCACGGAAATGGAGCGCACAGAGGAGAAATATCGTTATTCCTAAAGGCAAATGAAGCTCCCACTTAGTCATTTATCTCAATATATGAGCATATGACACATTCAAAAATGCCTGAAGTAAAAACATGAAACCATAGTTAGGAGATACCCAATATCATATTAGATATTAAATATACATAAAATGGGAAAAACTATATAGTAAATGTATAACTGAGACCTCATCTTGTGCATTACACCAAACATACATCTCCAGTATTAGTGTATTCAGGTGTCTGACCATTCACCAGAAATGTTACATAGTGCACCTTTAAAAATCCCCACATGCTGATTGTATTGTATTATACCTCCATTTGGACCAGGATCAGGAGGTCCCAGACTGATGCCTCCCCATGAGTTACCAGTCCATCCTCGCTCTCTCTTCACTTTTAACCTCTTCTTCTTCTCCCATTCATCTCTCTGGCGTACTGTTTGAAAAAGACGCAAATACTTTGAACACAGAAGTTTGCAATGAATGGTAATGTGTTTAATTAGAATCACTTCATTATGAACTATGTACCTAGTTCTGCTTGAACAACCTGCTGCTCAGCTTCACCTCTCCGGGCCATATGCTGAATGGAGCCTTCCTTTAGGATAGGAGCATTCAAGCCCGGCCACAGGAAACCCCCACGACCTGAATGAAAAGAGAGAATTTATTGTCACCTTCAGATTTGGAATTTACACAGCAGCAAAAGCCAAGGGTGTTACCTTCTCCAAGGCTCTGTCCTCGGTTTAGGTCCCTCTTCAGTTTACGTTTGGTCCTTTTCCCTCGGCCTTTCCTCGCTCCGGCCCCAGTCTCGGCCAGCACACCTCTCCACAACTCGTCTGCTGTCACTGCAGGATTAAGCAGATAGTGTCAGTTAGTAGTCTTATCAATCAATCGATCAATCAGTCTGTATTTATAGTGCCCTTTACAACACTCAAGGTGACCAAAGTGCTTATAGTGAAACTCTCTGTTATCAAGGCAACAGAATTATGGGCAATTTCAGGGTGTTGGTGTTTTATGCTTGTAAAAAAGCTGTGCAAAAATTAAGTGAGCTATTACTTAAGTACTTGTACTTGTAGAGAGTAGAGGAGAAATGAGAGATCACATGAATCCCCCAAGAACATCACAAAATAAACACGTCAAGACCCAAGACCCAGACCACAGACACCAAAATAGCAAAAGGTATTACAAATGTTAGAAAATAAGATGTGGATAAATAAAGATTTACAGCTGCTGTGCCACAATGGGCTAATCCTGTCCTTTAAAGCTTTTCTAGTTAGGACAGCCATAGTATTTTCACTATATTTCATATTAGACACTGTCCACCCCTTTAATTCAACTTAGTTGTGGTTGGTCAGAATAACGCGTTCAGTTTGACAAATATAATACAAAATAGAATGAATAAGACGTACACTTGTTGAAAAAGCTGCCGTGTCGACTCTGTTGCCATGTCGGGGCCGGGCTCAGCAGCGCAGGGAGTCTCTGCAGACACAACCCCGATGCTCGGCTGGACCGTGGGGCGCTCTGGATAAGTGCCCCTGCGAGCGGACGAAGGGGCAGTGCTCCTGAAACAATCACACAAACAAATTAACATCTGGTAAGCGAATAATCACCACAAAACATCACACGGCACAGCACGTCTGCAAATGTGGACGGTGTTAGCGTCCTAAGCAGGAGTAAGAGGGAGTGCTACGGCAGTAAATATCGCTCATTCACTCATTATCATTTTAAACGAGGGATGTCGTATAGTGATAGAAACGGAATAAATCTGCTCACGATCGAAAACGCCAGGAATAAACGATAAAATAACTCACCTCCAAGTGTAATGCGGAGGGCACAGCACACTCGTACGGACGCCGACATGTTGGTGTTGAAATGAGGACCCCAACACACACACGCATAGGATGCCAAACTGTGCCTGTACAAAAATCTAATCCAACTTGATAGCAGTGTATTGTATGGTGTATTGTATGGTGTATTTTTTGTTATTTTATTAGATTGTATGGTGTATTTTTTGCTATTTTATTAGATTTGTGCTGTACTTTTAAACTTGTAACCATCGTGCAGGTATCTTAGGTACCATGTAAGATTATAAGAAACAAGCAGGAAGAGTCCCTTCTCCAGGCCATGAGACATGTTTGTGGAGATGCAAGCCCGCTCGCAGTTAGTATGCATGTATATGTGTTTATGAATGTGTATTAATTGCAGTGAACACAAAGCAACAAAGTAACCAAAACAGAACAAACAAACATGCTTTTAGTTTTGTCTTTTTGGGCTAAAAAGTATAATCTTCAGAACAGGAGCTTCTGATTGGTTCTGGCTACTGTAAACAAACACAATGGCAATCCTCTCCAAAACCCCATTTCAAAAAGCACAGTGTGTAGCCTAGAGAACTAGTTTATTCATTTATTTGCTTTTTGATCAAGCAAAAAATTCCTGATTCTTGATTATAAATTTGAGGTCATGCTTATTTGCATAAAATATTCTACCAGGGCCCTCTTTGCTCTCATTATGTACTTGAGACATTCCCAGAACACCTTCTTACTGTATGTGTCTGTGTTTTCCTCTTCACTGAGAGCTGTAATCAAAGCAGAGCTGAAGGAGGGCTGCCCAGCTGTGCGGCGACAGGAGACACGCCAGAATCAGTGCATTTCTCATAACTTGTCTACAATAATAGCACCGTAATGGCAGCTCCGGGAGAGAGTGAGTTTTTCAGTATGTGTGTGTGTGTCTGCGTGTGGGAGGAAGGAGAAGGATAATGTAACTTGGGGTAAACATACTGCAGCAGAGTTCACTGTCACTCAAGTCCAAGCTGCTGCAGTTTACAGGAGAGAGTGTGGAGCTGAGAAAATGAAGATACAGTTGTATTCACCGCCGGGCTGCTTAAACTGATTTTCTCAGGCAATAGGCTGATGCAAGGATGCTTCATTTCAGTAAACCTGAAATGAACCTGGTTGAAGAATGACTCAGATCATACATAACTTGTTATATTACCAAAAGCAAAGCAGAAGTAAAATGCAGATAAGAAGATGATGACCCCTGCTTCAATTGAGTTTGAGACCTCTGTTTTACACTGTTCAGCCTGGCACATCAGTCACATACAATGAAATAAGTAGTTTTGGTATGGTAGCCCTACCTGACCAGCATTAAGGTAATATTTGACATCATGATAATAAGTTAAGACATTATTAGTCACATTTAGAAATACATTTTTAGCAGGACAGGGAAGACTCTTCTTCATGACAGATGCTGAGTTTTGGATCGACAACTATTTTCCTCAGGACAACGTCTGTGCACCTAAACTAACTCCACAGCAACGGGCAGTATACAATGATGGCCTCTTCAAATTAAATAAAACAAACAACTGAACAATCCATAAACAACTAAATACTAAACTAAGTCTTATTCTGCACACAAACTGCTAACCGAGAATCCTGAACAGATTAATAAAACCTAAGTAACAAATGTAGATATTTCACAAATCATGACATTTGAAAAGTTTGACTCACCAGCCCATATGATGTGCTTCGCTCATGTGCCTGTGTGATGTTGGCCACATCGGTGAAAATGACAGAGAAAGTGACTGCGAATACACCAGACATGGAGATGACAGCAAAGTACCACCTAAAGGGAAAAAGACATTCAAATTTAAAGATGTACTAGGTAACCTTCTCTGAAAGAGGTTTGTCAAATGCTTGTCATTCACTATGAAGAGTTTATTGCTTTACCTGAAATGTTCCACACTATGGCATTAAGCTTGTCTATCTTGTATGGAAAAGAAACTTAGTACTTGTAAAACTTGCCCCAACGACTGGTTTAGCTTGGGGCTAAACGCTGGCAATCAAACCTGCTGCTAAAGCTGTGGGAGTGATCTTTGGGAAAATGGCTCCCAGTTTGTCTGTTATTAATGTTCAAATCTGGATTTAGGGACAAAATAGAGAAATAATAACACCAGGATCATGGGTCTGACCTGTAACTTTGCTTGTTTCCATGGAGAAAGCTCCCCCAGGAAAGTTGTGCAAGGCAGTTTTAAAAAGTTATAATATTTATATACAATAAAGGGAAAGAAATAGAGTATTCTGAAATTAATTTTTTTTTACTGATGTTCTACACTAATTTTTCTGTTCTGAAATTGTCTGCCGTTGGTGAGCTGTCAGTCATGTTATTGAGCTCCTGTGGCAGAAGACAGTCATTTGAACTGAATCCCGAACGTTTGCTTAAGGGAGTGGACCATTTGTTTGGCTTATTGAGAAATGGCAGTCTTCATCACCGACCTCCTGCTCAGCTGTTGTATTTGAGTACAGCTTTGCATAATGTTGGGTTTAACACAGAAACACAGGTTAGAGATGCAACGATAGTTATGCCTTAATTCATGTAACGAGATGGGTAGAAAAAAGTGACAAAAGATTTCATACAATGCAGGTTTACAATGTGTATCAAGGTTTATTTATTATAATAAAAAATATCTGCAATTTCATTCAATACGTGTCATCTGTGGAATATAGCACTTTTAATATAATCTACAATTTAAAGACCCATTAAAACCCATTAAAAATAACAATCCTGTAAAAAATCAGGCCTAAATAATGGTCCTGTACACCACTGGACAGCATCATCACATGACTTAGCAGAAAAATATAGACATACAATCTTTTTGACAATGAAATGGTTCTGTTGCTGTTATTATATCGGCCTGAACAGAAAATTGTATGTAGCCATTTTCATAATTTGAAACCACCAAAGTGACTTTTTATCTGCCTCAGTTCCAACTTGTGCCAGCACTTCAGTGAATGCCTTAGAGAAATTAATTCTACCATCTTTTGTGTTTTTTACTTTTGGGATTTGCCCTTCAGAAGCACACAGTTCTACAGCTAAAACACACATCTTGTTAGTTATTCTGCTTAAGCAAAATTAGCTTTAAAAGGAGGAGTCAAAAGGCAAAAAGGTTTGAAAACTAATTTTGAAATAAATAAAATGGTAAATGCTCAGTGGTTCACCCCCTGCTAGTTTTTGTGGATATGCAACTCTTCTTCATAGAATGTTCCACACTGTGACATTAGCAGCTTGACCTTAAATGTATTAAATTCCAGCTGGTTTTATAGCTCAAAAACACCTAGAAAAGCGGATTGCCTCTCCACATATCTGACCTCTGACTGATTTGGTCTCCATGATAAAAATGTATACTGTGAATGTTCCAAACAATGCAAAAAAATCTCCATGAAGAAAATTTGACAGACCCTCAAGTTGCTATGCTATTGATGACAAACGAAGCGGTGGAGAACCAGGGCAATACAGAAAAAGTGAATGTGTGGCAGCCTAAACGATGAGGGCCTAATGAGACATGAAGAGAAACACATAAGGCCCCCACTGTGAGCAAAGCACCAGTCAGAAATAACCACAATAAGAAAGAATAGAACTGAAAAACATGACCAAAATGCATGAAGAGATAATGACGCCATAACACATGCAGTAAGTGTGTTTAAAGTCCATAGAGAAGATTACAATTGATCTAAATTACACACATATTAATTTAGTTCAATTCACTGAGCTGTCATCTTGCATCTCTCTTATAATTTTCTTTCAGCAATCATGTACTTTGAAGGAACATTTCCCACTGGCTTGTTATGGTGTGTTTTTGAAGCCTGCTGATCTGACTGCTCTGATCTAAGACACTGACAAGCTGTGTGTGAACATGGCAACATCATGGCTTTGGTATATTTTGGGAAATTCATATAAATATGGATACAAATCTTTGAAGAATAAAAGATGCAGGGTTTTGCTGTCTATGAATGTTAGAAAGGTCTAAGACAATCAAAATAGTTGTCAATAATATCACTTCTAACAATGAAAATTCAATCCTTGTCACAGTAAAAAACTGTAAATATGTAAAAATTTTGCAAAATATAGATTTTTTGATTTTTCTGTCTATGGATCTTAATTTTAAAAAAGACCGTATATTATCATTCTGATTCAATAAAGGTCCTATATTATTTTCTTTAAGCCATGCCATTGTTATCACATCAAAAACATACCTGGAGTTGTGTTTTGTTTCATTCACACATGTTTGAGTAACCCTTTATAACCCTTTATTATTATTAGAAATTATTAGAATTATAAGAAACAACATTATAAAATGATCAGAAAATAACAATAATATGGGCCCTTTAATATGTATCACAAATCAACTCACAACTACTGTATGATGATGCTCCAGTCTAGGTCTTGGGAAGCAGACTAGACTAGATTCAGTATTATTAATTGAAATGACTTACTGCACTTAAAACACTCACTGAATTATGCACAAACATTAAACATTTAGTTCTGTAAAAATTGTTAGCAGAGGTCAAGAATATGTTGAACAAGAGCATGTGGAGCCATATTAATGTTGTAAGACAAGTCTAGGAAATCGAGAAACACAAAAGTTTGAAGGGTCCATATGACACTATTTTCTGATCTGCTATAATGTTGTTTCCTCATCACAAACAGACCTGGAGTTGTGTTTTGTTTCATTCACACATGTTTAGCACACAAATCCTGCATATTTAGGCTGAATTCTTCTCTCAAAGGGAAAACACTGTGTTCCACCTTGTGATGTCATGTGGTAATACTGTAAGTGCTCAGCTGTGTTTTTAAACTCCACACTCCTTCACTAGAATCATTTGGATCATTTCAACCCTGGAACTGCTAATCTCTACTGAACAAAAGGTAAAAAGAAGCTGTTAACCTGAAAACCATTTGACATCACAAGGTGGAACAGAGCATTTCCGGGTATGTTTTTGATAATGAAACAACATTCTAATAAGGCTTAAAGTTTAGAAGAGACAATTGTGTAATATCAACCCAGTAATATTCGTAGGACCTATAAAGATGTGAGAATTTACTTCACAAGTTGTTTCCATTTTATTGTGACTAT